TTGTAGTGTTACTATCATCATGTGTGTTAGTTTACCTAATAATCCCCCTACAGTTGTAGTGTCACTATCATCATGTGTGTGAGTTTATCTAATAATCCCCCTACAGTTGTAGTGTTACTATCACCATGTGTGTTAGTTTACCTAATAATCCTCCTACAGTTGTAGTGTCACTATCATCATGTGTGTGAGTTTACCTAATAATCCCCCTACAGTTGTAGTGTCACTATCACCATGTGTGTGAGTTTACCTAATAATCCCCCTACAGTTGTAGTGTTACTATCATCATGTGTGTTAGTTTACCTAATAATCCCCCTACAGTTGTAGTGTCACTATCATCATGTGTGTGAGTTTATCTAATAATCCCCCTACAGTTGTAGTGTTACTATCACCATGTGTGTTAGTTTACCTAATAATCCTCCTACAGTTGTAGTGTCACTATCACCATGTGTGTTAGTTTACCTAATAATCCCCCTACAGTTGTAGTGTCACTATCACCATGTGTGTGAGTTTACCTAATAATCCCCCTACAGTTGTAGTGTTACTATCATCATGTGTGTGAGTTTATCTAATATTCCCCCTACAGTTGTAGTGTTACTATCATCATGTGTGTTAGTTTACCTAATAATCCCCCTACAGTTGTAGTGTCACTATCACCATGTGTGTGAGTTTACCTGATAATCCCCCTACAGTTGTAGTGTTACAATCATCATGTGTGTTAGTTTACCTAATAATCCTCCTACAGTTGTAGTGTCACTATCATTATGTGTGTGAGTTTATCTAATAATCCCCCTACAGTTGTAGTGTCACTATCATCATGTGTGTGAGTTTACCTAATAATCCCCCCTACAGTTGTAGTGTTACTATTATCATGTGTGTTAGTTTACCTAATAATCCCCCTACAGTTGTAGTGTCACTATCACCATGTGTGTGAGTTTACCTAATAATCCCCCTACAGTTGTAGTGTTACTATCATCATGTGTGTTAGTTTACCTAATAATCCCCCTACAGTTGTAGTGTTACTATTATCATGTGTGTTAGTTTACCTAATAATCCCCCTACAGTTGCAGTGTCACTATCATCATGTGTGTTAGTTTACCTAATAATCCCCCCTACAGTTGTAGTGTTACTATTATCATGTGTGTTAGTTTACCTAATAATCCCCCTACAGTTGTAGTGTCACTATTATCATGTGTGTTAGTTTACCTAATATTCCCCCCTACAGTTGTAGTGTTACTATCATCATGTGTGTTAGTTTACCTAATAATCCCCCTACAGTTGTAGTGTTACTATTATCATGTGTGTTAGTTTACCTAATAATCCCCCTACAGTTGTAGTGTTACTATTATCATGTGTGTTAGTTTACCTAATAATCCCCCTACAGTTGTAGTGTTACTATTATCATGTGTGTTAGTTTACCTAATAATCCCCCTACAGTTGTAGTGTTACTATTATCATGTGTGTGAGTTTACCTAATAATCCCCCCCTACAGTTGTAGTGTCACTATCATCATGTGTGTTAGTTTACCTAATAATCCCCCTACAGTTGTAGTGTCACTATCATCATGTGTGTTAGTTTACCTAATAATCCCCCCTACAGTTGTAGTGTCACTATCATCATGTGTGTTAGTTTACCTAATAATCCCCCCCTACAGTTGTAGTGTCACTATCATCATGTGTGTTAGTTTACCTAATAATCCCCCCTACAGTTGTAGTGTCACTATCATCATGGGTGTTAGTTTACCTAATAATCCCCCCCTACAGTTGTAGTGTCACTATCATCATGTGTGTGAGTTTACCTAATAATCCCCCTACAGTTGTAGTGTCACTATCATCATGTGTGTGAGTTTACCTAATAATCCTCCTACAGTTGTAGTGTCACTATCATCATGTGTGTGAGTTTACCTAATAATCCCCCTACAGTTGTAGTGTCACTATCATCATGTGTGTTAGTTTACCTAATAATCCCCCTACAGTTGTAGTGTCACTATCATCATGTGTGTGAGTTTATCTAATAATCCCCCTACAGTTGTAGTGTCACTATCATCATGGGTGTTAGTTTACCTAATAATCCCCCCTACAGTTGTAGTGTCACTATCATCATGTGTGTGAGTTTACCTAATAATCCCCCTACAATTGTATGTCTCTGTTATACTGTATGTGTTAGTTTATCTAATACTTTCCCCCTCTATCAGTTTACCAGCCCAAGTGGCTCTTCACTGTTATCTAACAAATATTTAGGTTTGAAATCTTTTTATTTTCTGATATATCTAGATACCAGGGGTATATACAGTGTATAGTGTTGTTATGTTACTGTAAGTGCTTTGATGTACAGACTCTCCAATCCCATGATTGTTACTTAACGCCAGTATTTCTCTTTTTCCTAGGAATTAACTATGATATTTTTTTCTTGTTGCCCAATCTTCTTAGTTATAAAAAGGGTAAACTTTGTATAGATACTTTTCATTTTCTTACCACTTTTGGAATTTAGTTTTTGTAATAAATGTTGAGATCAGATGAATGTTTTTAGCAGTATTGTGTGAAGAGAAAAATGTTCTTGTCAGATTAGATGTAATTTACTCGATGAGATTTATTTAATTTTGTAAGGAAAGTAAGCTACAATTGTCAGACAACACAACATTGATGTTGTCTACAGCTACAACTGTCATACAACACAACATTGATGTTGTCTACAGCTACAACTGTCATACAACACAACATTGATGTTGTTTACTGCTACAACTGTCAAACAACACAACAGACATGTTGTTTACAGCTACAACTGTCATACATCTCAATAGACATGTTGTTTACAGCTACAACTGTCAGACAACACAACATTGATGGTGGTGTTTACTGCTACAACTGTCAAACAACACAACAGACTTGTTGTTAACAGCTACAACTGTCAAACAACACAACAGACTTGTTGTTAACAGCTACAACTGTCAAACAACACAACAGACATGTTATTTACAGCTACAACTGTCATACAACTCAACAGACATGTTGTTTACAGCTACAACTGTCAGACAACACAACATTGATGTTGTTTACTGCTACAACTGTCAAACAACACAACAGACATGTTGTTAACAGCAACAACTGTCAAACAACACAACAGACATGTTGTTTACAGCTACAACTGTCAAACAACACAACAGACATGTTATTTACAGCTACAACTGTCATACAACTCAACAGACATGTTGTTTACAGCTACAACTGTCATGCAACTCAACAGACATGTTGTTTACAGCTACAACTGTCATACAACTCAACAGACATGTTGTTTACAGCTACAACTGTCATACAACTCAACAGACATGTTGTTTACAGCTACAACTGTCAAACAACACAACAGACATGTTATTTACAGCTACAACTGTCATACAACTCAACAGACATGTTATTTACAGCAACAACTGTCAAACAATACAACAGACATGTTGTTTACAGCAACAACTGTCAAACAACACAACAGACATGTTGTTTACAGCTACAACTGTCATACAACTCAACAGCCATGTTGTTTACAGCTACAACTGTCATACAACTCAACAGACATGTTGTTTACAGCTACAACTGTCAAACAATTCAAAAGACATGTTGTTTACAGCTACAACTGTCATACAACTCAACAGACATGTTGTTTACAGCTACAACTGTCAAACAACACAAAAGACATGTTGTTTACAGCTACAACTGTCATACAACTCAACAGACATGTTGTTTACAGCTACAACTGTCATACAACTCAACAGACATGTTGTTTACAGCTACAACTGTCAAACAACTCAATAGACATGTTGTTTACAGCTAAAACTGTCAAAAACCATGACAGATGTGTTGCCTTTAGCAACAGGTTTTAAACAACACAACAAACATGTTGTTTACAGCTACAACTATCACACACAACAGACATGTTGTTTACAGCTACAACTATCACACACAAGAAAACAGGTGTATTACCTTTGGCAACAACTGTCAAACAACACAACATACATGTTGCCTTTAGCAACAGGTTTTAAACAACACAGCAAGCATGTTGTCCATAGCTGCAACTGCCAAATAAAAAGACAATGTTTTTACTTCTTACAACTTCATTTGCAAGCGAAGACACCTGATTATTTCTTGTATTGTTCATGATAATTGAAGTATTGTTGAGAATTATTTTGTAACCAATGATGAGCGGTATGCCAGACTTGTCCAGCCAGTTCTGAAGGATTTGTCTATTGTTAACTTACGAAGCTGAGATAATGATATTGTTTAAAAAAGAGCTCCACGCAAAACGTAAGTGGGTTATATTTCATCTTGAGTTCAGTTGAGTTGGCATGCAAAACATATTTGTATATTAAATTTGTTACATGTTAAAACAAGTTACTTTGTTTTGTAGAACTAACAATTTTTTTACAGTTTAAAGTCAAGGTATTACCTACTGATAAACTAAAAGGCTACCAGGTATATATGGTCTTATTTTTCATTGACCAAACCTGGGGAATTCCCCTTAACTCATCTCTTGGGATACCCTGTTATATAAAACTTGAGAGGATTGCCTTCGCATGTCTCACAAACTTTCTCTATGTTTATTGCATGGTTTGAAATTTCAAATTTATTTTATCATTAACGCTACTGTTAACTTTACCAACCAGGTTTCTTTTGTTTATTTCAATGTTAATTTTACAAACAAAAGTCTTTTTGTTTACTGTTTGATATGTTACTAATATACTTATTATCTATGAGAAATAACATAAAACACATAATATGTTGCATTCAGAAAAATTGTAAAGAAATTTGTCCAGTGAAATTGATTAAATTCAAATGTCTGTTTTAGAAACTTCAATGTTGTTGCATATATAATTTAGAAAATTATTTAAAATTTGATTTGTTCCAATTATGTTATAAAAAGTACACTCTTCTTAACTTTGCTATAAGTGAAGACCATTACATATATGTAATCCTTATGGTGAAATTATTCTATTCAATGTTTTATTTTGACAACAGATGAAAACTAAAGGACAACGAGAAAAGAACAGACGAACAACAAAACCAACTCCAGAAAAAATCATTCAAAAGGGGAGGCAACTCAGTAACGCTAATATTGTAAAGAAAAAGAAGAAATTTAAACCAGCTACTAAATTTATTGCACACAGACTTCCTCAGAGAAAAGCAAAACTACGTTGGAACAGTTGTTACCTTGAAGATGATGAATTTGATCATGAGGTCAGCTTTGTGTTTAAACAATCCCCAGAATCGTATACAAATAGGAAACGTAAATCAGAGCTAGACTCTGAAGGCCCTTCCAGTAGTGCACCTTTAAAGAAAACTAGACTGCAGAAGGTGGAAAAAAAATCTCAAAAGGCCAAAACTCATGGAAAAATTCAATTACGTCAAGTGAAGAGAAAAGTGAAAACAGAGAAGACAGAGAATACAAAAGTTTTAGGACAAAAGAATACTCAAGTAGAATGTGATAGTTCATCTGGGGTTCATACACGATCAGGAATTGTGTTGAGAGCAGAGGGGTGTGTGGAGGAGTCTACTATCCCAGCCGTCAGTCCAGCTACTGCTGGGAACAATAAAGGAGTTATTGAATCCAGCAAGAAACGATCTCAAATCAAACAGAAAAATATAAAGGATGATGTGAAATATAAAATAGATCAGAAAAAGAAATTTGAATCATTATCTCCAACTGAGAAACGGAGAAAACTTTTAGTGAAAGGAGAAAAGGACTCTAAAACAGACATTTTGATGTCAGATTCAGTCAAGCAAGGATCTCGAAATTCAGGGTCTGATTCTGTGAAACAAAAGCGGAAACCCTCAGGTAAGACCAGTATGAAGAAGTATTTATGATTTATAGAAATATCAGTCTTCATCATATGAGCTTTAATATCTCATTTGTACTATATCTGGCAAAAATGTTTCTAAGAAAACTTGTACAGTATCTTATTTTAGCTAATAATGTTTTAAAGTGAACAAAATATGTAGAAATTGAAAGTTGAAGTTCCATAAGTTATATAAAACATGTATGACTGTCAATTCAAATCTAGGGTGGTCGGGTGGCGCAGTGGTAACGCACTCGCCTTTCACCTAGCCGACCGGGGTTCGATTCCCGGAACGGACGTGAAAAGGTAAGGGGTCACCTACCCGACCACGTGGGTTTTCCCCGGGTACTCCGGTTTCCTCCCACAATAAGACCCCTCGCGCGCTTACATCCGGGCCAACAAGAGTGATTAGTATAAGTTGACATAACTTGTTTCGCAATTGTTGTAAAATAAATAAGGTTTATATTTTATATATATTTATATATTTATAATTCAAATCTACAGTTTTACTGCAAACATATCTAATGTGGTGCAATCCAATTTTAGCGCATTATCACTTTAGCACATTGATAAATTCACACAACCACAATAGTTAATTTATAATGGTATTATAGAACCTACAATTGTTATTTTTATGGACACTACAGTGAAGAAAAGGCTGAAAGACAACCTGTCGGTTGACAAGGAAGTGAAACAAGAGCCTTTTCCTGGGCCAGGGCAGCCTGCCAGACTTGTTGAGGCTCCTACATTTTACCCTAATGAGGAAGAATTCTCTGATCCTATCAAGTACATACAGTCTGTCACAATGGTAGCAGAACCGTATGGAATGTGCAAGATCGTCCCACCACAAAGTTGGAAGGTGTGTGTATTGTATAGTTGCTATTAGACTGTGTTCATCATCTTTACAAAATACAGTTTTTCTGATCGATTTCAACTAAGTACCCTCAGTTTGGAGCTGTATAACTCCCTAATATGAGGATGTAATGATACAATAAAATTTGTAAAGTTTACTTTGCAGCTTATTAATTATCAATGGATCAGACATAAGCTGGTGATGCTTCATTGTAGCTGCTTTTATTCAATTTGAATGATATGTCTACCTGGTATTGAGGAGTATTTGCATCTATCTATATAATCCTAGTGTTCTATACATGTGATGTATCGTGAATCAGCTGTGAGGTCCACTGTGTTTCCATGTTTTAGGCCTACAGTGTTTCCAACTTTCAGGTCTACTACAGTGTTTCCAAGTTTCAGGACTACAGTGTTTGCGTGTGTCTGATCTACAGTGTTTGTGTGTGTCAGGTCTACAGTGTTTGTGTGTGTCAGGTCTACAGTGTTTGTGTGTGTCAGGTCTACAGTGTTTGTCTGATCTACAGTGTTTGTGTGTGTCTGGTCTACAGTGTTTGTGTGTGTCAGGTCTACAGTGTTTGTGTGTGTCAGGTCTACAGTGTTTGTGTGTGTCAGGTCTACAGTGTTTGTGTGTGTCAGGTCTACAGTGTTTGTTTGTGTCTGGTCTACAGTGTTTGTGTGTGTCAGGTCTACAGTGTTTGTGTCTGGTCTACAGTGTTTGTGTGTGTCAGGTCTACAGTGTTTGTGTGTGTCTGATCTACAGTGTTTGTGTGTGTCAGGTCTACAGTGTTTGTGTGTGTCAGGTCTACAGTGTTTGTGTGTGTCTGATCTACAGTGTTTGTGTGTGTCAGGTCTACAGTGTTTGTGTGTGTCTGATCTACAGTGTTTGTGTGTGTCAGGTCTACAGTGTTTGTGTGTGTCTGATCTACAGTGTTTGCGTGTGTCAGGTCTACAGTGTTTGCGTGTGTCTGATCTACAGTGTTTGTGTGTGTCAGGTCTACAGTGTTTGTGTGTGTCAGGTCTACAGTGTTTGTGTGTGTCAGGTCTACATTGTTTGTGTGTGTCTGGTCTACAGTGTTTGTGTGTGTCTGGTCTACAGTGTTTGTGTGTGTCTGATCTACAGTGTTTGTGTGTGTCAGGTCTACAGTGTTCGTGTGTGTCTGATCTACAGTGTTTGTGTGTGTCTGATCTACAGTGTTTGTGTGTGTCAGGTCTACAGTGTTTGTGTGTGTCTGATCTACAGTGTTTGTGTGTGTCAGGTCTACAGTGTTTGTGTGTGTCTGATCTACAGTGTTTGTGTGTGTCAGGTCTACAGTGTTTGTGTGTGTCAGGTCTACAGTGTTTGTGTGTGTCTGATCTACAGTGTTTGTGTGTGTCAGGTCTACAGTGTTTGTGTGTGTCAGGTCTACAGTGTTTGTGTGTGTCAGGTCTACAGTGTTTGTGTGTGTCTGATCTACAGTGTTTGTGTGTGTCAGGTCTACAGTGTTTGTGTGTGTCAGGTCTACAGTGTTCGTGTGTGTCTGATCTACAGTGTTTGTGTGTGTCTGATCTACAGTGTTTGTGTGTGTCAGGTCTACAGTGTTTGCGTGTGTCTGATTTACAGTGTTTTCGTGTGTCTGATCTACAGTGTTTGTGTGTGTCCGGTCTACAGCGTTTCACAGTGTCTTAGTTTATTAAATAGTGAAACATTATTTGAAAACAATTCTAATGTTTTACTGGTATGTAGTTATGCAGTCTTGTGCTTAATAAAAAATTTCATCTTTTTCAGTCCGATAGTAAGATCAGTGAAGAATTGCGGTTCACCACACAAAAGCAGTATATTCACAAGTTGTATGATAGGTATGTATATAAACACCTCTCTCCATCAACCACTTGTATGATGTGTATGTATAGGATATTGGGAGAAAGACACATATAGAAATAACTATCTGTCACCCCTTACTGTCAACTGATTGGCTGTGACAAGTTACATATTTTACCTAAGGAAGGGAGCTCAGCCAAGCTTGTCTAGCAAGGAAATCTCAGTCTTTCGATTTAAGATTTCATTCACAGTATCAATAAACAGAAAAGTCATACCCTGATCGAAGTTCTTAATGAACCCAATTCAGCATTCAAGGCACTTCTTTTGTTATAAAAGGCACTTAATCAGAATAAGCCTGCTATGTTTAAAAAATATAGAACTGAAGACAAGTGGATTTGTTGTCTGTCTACAGGTTTGGACCCAATGTGTGTCAACTTAAAGCTATACAGAAGCATCTTGACTCTCATGGTGTGTCAGAGCCATTTCCAGTCGTAAGTCATTCAATTAAAGAAACATTACCAAGCCTTCAATCAACAAATCACCATGTGAAACTATGGAGAATAAATTATCTAGTGTCAATTATACATGGCATTATCAAATAAAGTGAAAGTATGGAACCCCTTAAGGACAAAAAATCCATGTAACAATCTCTGATAGTACTGCAATGTGTATTAAAATGATAACGGCATTAACATGAAATTTGTGAAAAAATGTTCAAACAAGTACAGTTTTCAGCAATTTAACTGTTATTATGATGAAAAATGATGGAAAAAAGAAAGTGAAAATGTTGACTTTGAGAAATTGCAATTGTTTCAAAAGAAATCTCCCTCAATAGTTATGGTTTTCATGGACGGGAAAATTTCATTGTATGCTATGTTTGCTCTGTTCAGATTGGAGGTGTAGAGGTGGACATCTGTAAATTTTCAGCTGTTATTCAACACTTGGGAGGCATGCAGAGTGTTATTGAAAAGAAGAAATTATTGAAAGTTGCAGACATCATAGGAATTCCTAAATCAGTAAGAGACTATAAGTTCTCTCAAAAACCAATGGTTCATTTCTGTTTCATAGGTCGACATCTTTAATACATTTGATTAAGCTGTCTGGATTGTAATACTGCATGTCAGACTACTTATGTATGACATAAAATTACTTAGTCCGGTGACTCAATCATCTATTCCTGGTGTGCTTTAGATGTGTGAATGCTGTAGGCGAAAGATAGGGGAATTAAACTTTTAAAGCTTACTGTAAGTTCCTGAAGCATTGTTTCATTCTTATAGGCACAGGTTTGGGGAATTTAACTTTTGAAGCTTACTATAAATTCATGAAGCATTGTTTCATTCTTATAGGCACAGGTTTGGGGAATTTAACTTTTGAAGCTTACTATAAATTCATGAAGCATTGTTTCATTCTTATAGGCACAGGTTTGGGGAATTTAACTTTTGAAGCTTACTATAAATTCATAAAGCATTGTTTCATTCTTATAGGCACAGATTTGGGGAATTTAACTTTTGAAGCTTACTATAAATTCATGAAGCATTGTTTCATTCTTATAGGCACAGGTTGGGGGAATTTAACTTTAGAAGCTTACTATAAATTCCTGATATAGCATGAATCAATGTTTTCTTCTTATAGAAAAAGGATAGGAGATTTACGATCATTACTGTAAACTCCTGATTTAACACATCTCTAATGTTTATATTGTTACAGGCACAAGATAGGGGAACTAAACTTTACGATGCTTACTGTAAGTTCCTTGTCTCTTATGATATGTTGTCTGCAGACAAGAAGCGTAAACTTGAGGAGGAGGTAACAGAAATGAGGAAAACTAGAAAAGATAAGACGGAAGAGGAGTGTGTGATGAAGGTAACTGAATCGGGGTCAAGGCCACTACAACTCTTCTCATTTGATATGTTTTTAGCCTTCAATCATCCCCATATGCAGGTTCCTCTTGGTTGCTAGTTGTGCATTGGCTGATTTTGGGACTGACCTGAAAAGTAATATGTCTGATCGATGGCCCTCTTGGATTTTGATAGTAACGATTTATTATTGCAATTTCTGGAGAAGAACTGGATGTTGTTTTTTTTTAATTTCTTAACCAAATCCAAAGAAGTCTCAGTAAGAGTAGCTTTATCTAGACAAGGACTGAAGTAGTCAGGAAAATGTTTTTATCTTCCAAAAACTGTTTTTACTCCGAAACAATATACTTTACACTTTGTGTATTACTGACATTGGTCTAGATCTCAAACATGTGTGTTAAACATGAGGCAGTGTAAGCAAACGTAATTGTATGTAAATTGTTCAGTTTCTCTCTGCTGATGTCACAATGATGCCCTCCTTCCTCTACAGGGAAAAAACATGTCCTTGGTAATGTTCAACAGAGCTGCACGGAACATCGGTGGGGCATGGCTGCGAGACTCTTCTTCCAACTCCACTGACAATGTAGAGGTTTGTGTTCAAGGTCAATGCAGGAGAATATTAAAATTTATCAACCATAGGACATTTCTGTTCTACTGTCCAAAATCTTTGCTGGCATTTGTTTTAATCTCTACCAGGAAGATATCAGAGTTGATGGAGAACAACTTCATAGACTACATTTGCTTGTGCATACACTGTGATATACTACTCCCACAGATGGAAATGTTCATGAAACACGTAATGATTTAAAGTTTTTAAAAAATGACTTTGAAAATTTACAGAACATTAACTTTTGGCTTTGTTGCAGTACAAACATGCTGTTAAGGATTTTTTATATATAGTGTTAATTTTTTTACCATTTTGTGATGGGACTTGCAATTTGAACTTTCTTGTTCATCATCAGCTACAGTCAATGATAGTCTTATATTGAATTTCAGAAAGAGTACTGGAATATAGTGAAAGGCAGGAAATCCCATGTTGTTGTACATGGTGGTCATATAGATACTCAGGCTCACAGCTGTAACACATTCTCTTCCAAAAAGGATAATCACCACTGCAGGTAAGGTACCTCCTACAGGTTAAAGGGTCAGTATCAAAAGTACTGGTAAGGGGGTGGGTCTCTTGTAATGGTAAAGGGGGTGGGGTCTCTTGTAATGGTAAAGGGGGTGGGGTCTCTTGTAATGGTAAAGGTGATGGGTCTCTTGTAATGGTAAAGGGGGTGGGTCTCTTGAAATGGTAAAGGGGGTGGGGTCTCTTGTAATGGTAAAGGTGATGGGTCTCTTGTAATGGTAAAGGTGATGGGTCTCTTGTAATGGTAAAGGTGAAGGGTCTCTTGTAATGGTAAAGGTGATGGGTCTCTTGTAATGGTAAAGGGCGTGGGGTCTCTTGTAATGGTAAAGGTGATGGGTCTCTTGTAATGGTAAAGGTGATGGGTCTCTAGTACAGGTAAAGGTAATGGGGTCTCTGGTACAGGTAAAGGTGATGGGACCACTTGTAAATGTTAAGAGGTGGGGTCATTGGTACCAGTAAAGGGGAAAGGTCACCTGTACAAGTTAAGGGGGTAGGGTCTACAGTACAGGTAAAGGGGATATAGTCACTTGTACAAGTTAAGGGGGTAGGGTCTACAGTACAGGTAAAGGGGATATAGTCACTTGTACAAGTTAAGGGGGTAGGGTCTACAGTACAGGTAAAGGGGATATAGTCACTTGTACAAGTTAAGGGGGTAGGGTCTACAGTACAGGTAAAGGGGATATGGTCACTTGTACAGATTAAGAGGTAGGGTCACTTCAAGTAAAGGGGAAGGGTTATTAGTATGGGTAAAGGGGATGGAGTCACTGGTATAGCTGAGGGAGTTTGCATGGTCAATAGCACAGGTGAATGGGTGGAGCCACTAGTACAGGTAAAGGTAATGGGGTCTCTGGTACAGGTAAAGGTGATGGGACCACTTGTAAATGTTAAGAGGTGGGGTCATTGGTACCAGTAAAGGGGAAAGGTCACCTGTACAAGTTAAGGGGGTAGGGTCTACAGTACAGGTAAAGGGGATATAGTCACTTGTACAAGTTAAGGGGGTAGGGTCTACAGTACAGGTAAAGGGGATATAGTCACTTGTACAAGTTAAGGGGGTAGGGTCTACAGTACAGGTAAAGGGGATATGGTCACTTGTACAGATTAAGAGGTAGGGTCACTTCAAGTAAAGGGGAAGGGTTATTAGTATGGGTAAAGGGGATGGAGTCACTGGTATAGCTGAGGGAGTTTGCATGGTCAATAGCACAGGTGAATGGGTGGAGCCACTAGTACAGGTAAAGGGTTCAAAGACACTAGCACACTTAAACGGGTGGGGTTACTAGTACAGATGAAGGGGCTGGGATTATAAGAACAGATTAATGGTGTGGTGTCACTATTAATATGGATAAAAGTTGCAGAGTTAACTAAAGGTGGAGAGGAATATGTGACTTCTACATGTAGGAGTTGGGGCCACTATTAGAGGTATAGATATGGAATTAAAATACAGGTAAAAAAGAAGGGGGGATATTTACAAGGGATGGGATGGGGATCACTACTACTGGGTAAGAGGGTGTAAGTACAATTATAGGGTGACTTATCCTGCAACATGGGAGGAATACAGTTAGAAGAATCAAGCAATAATTGACTAGAATGAAAATTTAAGAATGATTCTGTTCTCAATTCAGCCATCCATGGAATCTCAACAACCTCCCCCACAGTCCTGGCTCTCTGCTGCGTTATCTTGGACATGTGTCTGGTAGGTGTCTGTACACATTCTGTGCTCTAGTTATTTTGTATGAATACATATAAATGTAATTGTTTTGTAATTTGTATTACCTAATAATAGGAAAATCCATTATTTTAAGCTCACCATCATCAGATGGTAGGCTGTTCAAATTGCCCTACATCCGTGGTCTGTTATCCCTCTGTCTGCAAACAATGTTTGTTATTGTTATTTCTTGAGGTGTACTGGATGGATCTTTCTCAAATTTCACATATAGGTTCCCCCTGGCTTTTAGTTGTACCTGTAAGATTTTTGAACAGATCAGAGAAACAAAATGGCTGAGAAATGACCGTCTTTGATTTTTTCAGTGAAGTTTGATATCGCTATTTCTTGAAAAGTACTTGATGGATCTCTCTCAGATTTCATATGTAAGTTCCCCTTGGTCTCAGTTGTGTCCATTTGATTTTAGGTCTGATCAGAAAAACGAAATGGCTGACAGACAGCCATCTTAGATTTCTCCTCAATCTCTTTTTCTTAAGAAGTACTAAATGGATCTCTCTCAAATTTCATACGTATGTTCCCTTTGGTCTCTACTTATGCCAATTTGATTTCTTGACTGATCAGGAAAAAAACAAAATGTCTTCCAGGCGACCATTTTGGATTTAGCAGGAAAATATTATCATTGCTACTTCTGCAAATGAATGTTCAAATTTCTTATCATTAAGAGCAAAAACAGTGAAGAAATAAGAAAAAAAGGGAAAAAATCAAGCGTTCAAAGAGCAAATAAAGATCAAACAATGGTGGGCACCAAGATCCGTTTGGGATCTCTTGTTTAAGAAGTTTTAAGGAATAAAAACTGGAAAACTATCTCAACGAAACAAACTGTTTTGTTAGTATGATTAAAGCTGCAATGTAATAGTAGCCACTGTCATATGTTACTAGGAGTGACTGTACCTACACTTCACATGGGGATGGCCTTCACTACCTCCTGCTGGTCAACTGACATTCATAGACTGCCTTATGTCCAGTATCTACACACAGAGGCAGACACGATCTGGTGAGTAAACTACCTTATACTGACATTCACAGACAACTATATGTATACACACAGTTTGGTCACATCTCCTATACTAGAATAGACATTCTTATCACACAACCAGTAGAAGACGGAGACATTTCTATGACTTCACTGTCATCAGACAAATGAACAGAGTGAAGCACTGACACATGAAGTGCTTTTCTTTCACACCTTTTAAATTTAATATTTTTGTAAAGTTCTTCACTTTGGGATTCTAATGTTTGTATAATGTTTTATTGATATGTTTTGTCTTGCCAGGTATGCTGTGCCTGGACAGATAGAAGAGACCTTTAAATCTGCTATGAGAAGTCTTGTACCTACATTGGTGAATGATGACCCTCACTGGCTGCGGGAGGACACAGTCATGGTAAGATCATTAGAAATACCTGGCATCCTCACATGAAGAGCATTTTGATTTAGGTTAATATTTAAAACTAAACTTCCCTCACTATACTGTAAATCATGTATTTTTGTGGGTCTGAAATGTTTCGATTTTCGATGAAAATAGGTATCATTGCTTTTCTAAAATATTTTGGAGATATGTAGTTCTTCTAAATTCACTTGTGTTAAAATAAGATTTTGTTTGTTTACTGTTTATCATTTCACATACATATAGATTCGTTGATTAAGAGTACCCAAGAAATCAACAAAAAATAAAATCACAGAGATTTAAAGATTATCAAATCATGAAAAAATTCGTTAAAAAAACTGGATTGATTTCTTTTGCCCATATTAACAGTACTAAACTGTCATTAATTCAAGACTCTTGTGATATGTGTATTATTTCAAACCTGTCCTACCTGACCAGATTTGATGATATTGAATCTGTCAAAGTTTTTACCCCCAAACCACTGATTAATATCTTAACAAATTGATAGAATTTTAATCTTCAATATTTTAATAATTATTTAAAACCAAAACAGGATACATATGTTTTGAGGTTCAGGTACATTAAATAAAACAGATTGTTAGTATTTCTGAATATGAGACATCTTATTTAGGTGGATCCAGATGATCTCACAGCTAATGGTGTAGCGGTCAGTAGGTGTATCCAGAGACCTGGTCAGTTTGTCATAGTGTTCCCACGCTGTTACACATCAACAATCAGCTGTGGCTATTCCCTGGCTGAGTCCGTCCACTATGCAACACCAAGTTGGTTAGAGGCTGGGCATAGAGCCACAAAGGTACATCAATAAATCTGATGTGTTTTAAATAGGAATTATGTGTGCTTGTAAATGTTGTTTACCTTATGTCAACCATAACAGAATAACAAGTCTGTATAGATATTGTTGATAGTGGATAATCAAAAGTTACAGTATTGGTTGTTTGTATGCTGTAAAACAAATTGCAAATTTTGTTTGTGAACAATTTCTGTAAGAAACAAGTTAGAAAGTTTTTTTCCAAGTTTAGATGTCCGAAAAGTTATGTCAGTCATTAATGTCACATTCCTGTTATTACCACATTTTTTCCTTACAAATGGAACATGATACTAAGTAGTTTTCACTATAATAAATGGCAGTGCATGGATTAGTGGTATTTTTTCTTTCATCTGAGAACTTGAAGCTTTCATGTTCTTGATAAATTTACTTTATGTTAACTAATAGAAAGTAATAATGGCTGTTCAATATTGTTACATATTTTACAGGCATTGAATGATAGTTTTGAAACTGAAATGTTTTCCATGGACGAGTTGTTGACAAGGATAGCAGAAGATCCGACAACTCCTGTTGGTGTCCTGGCATCAATGTTACCATGGTTACAGAAAGTCATGTAAGTCGGTTTGCTTTCTTGACTTCGCTGTCTATTTCTGAGATGCCAAAACATACTTAATAATCTTCTGAGAATGAAATCAGACAAATGAAGATCTGGAATTTCACATTTAAGATAAGTTTAATGCAGAAATCATTGTTGAACTGTGTTGTGCACAAGCCAAAATGGTTGTTTTATCAATTAAAGTTTGCAGATAGCCCACTAAATTACATTGTTTGCAGGCTTTCTGCTACATAATAGATAAAGTACAGGTACCCTATCAGGGGAATCACCTGTTGTATTTTTACATAGTTAGAAAGCTGACACAGTTGACGGATGGGAGTAGGTACAGATGATGACGAAGGTATATGCATCTTATACAAATGAACACCATGTAAAACTAAAATGTTATTGTATTATTTTCACAGTGATCGAGAGCTTAATAACCGACAGCAGTTGTTTGATGCAGGACTTAAGTCATCCAAGCGTATGTGTACCAGCGGAAATCTACCGCACGCCTCTTCAAGGGGGGCATGTCAGGTGGAGGAAATCATAACAACATGTGACGTGTCAAAGAAGATCTGCTACCTGTCATTGGTGAATATCACTTAACAGAGCTCTGTGTGAATTAGAACAAAAATGTTTGCTGATATTTGTTTTGAACATTTTTCAAGCTTTTTTTCTTACAAAGGTAACATAACAATATTAGATAGACATTTGTCAGAGGAACAGATTCTCTGTCCTATATAATCTTACCTTTATTTTTGTTAGGTTTTGAATGAAGTTGATGACCTGGCTTTCTCATTAGAACATGGATTATCTCATGTGCAGAAAAAACGCAACATAAGGTCGTGTAAACTGATGTACCGACATACAGAGGTAAGTATCGTCTTCATAACATAGTTCTCCTTTGTGCTTGTTATCATTGTTGGCACTCACTAGGAGCTACGCAAACTCACAACTTTATCACAGTTCTCATACAAAGTTATTTCTATGTTATCCAAAAACTCTAATCTTGTACAAACTAATACTTAACTTTTAGTGTTAACAAGAGTTTTTACTTGTTGTTTGCAGTAATGGCTGTTCATTGGTAAGAAACAGGTTAGGGGAAAGGTCCAACACACAGTTTAACTGAATGCAAATTATGACACTTGTAAATGCTGTTATGCTTTAGTTCAGTTCTGTGCCTGTTTTGTAGGAGGAACTTAAGAAACTATTAAGAGATGTGAAGGAACGACTCAATACTCAACACATCAGTACTGGCTTGAACGAATCTGCAGAGGGAAGCTCACCACGCAGGAAACAGCCCCGCAAAGTGGAGCACAAGAGCTGATACAAACAGAATGACAGAAAAAAATAATTTTTGTTTGTTATGATTAGTTCAGCATTGTTATCATCGACCTTGTGTACAGTGAAACATCCAGTCTGGATGCAAAGTTAAAACTCATCACAACTAAAGAGGTTTAATAGTGTTAAAAAGTTAAGTTACCGCATTGATACCAAAAACTGTTTCCTATTTTACTTTTTTTTCTCTTGAATTTTGTTAATGAACCAATGCTAATCCATTAAGACCTTAACTAGAAGTGTGTTGCTGAACTGATGTCAACACATCAAGATCTTAAGCTGAGGTGTGTTGCTGAAATGATGTGAACACTTTAAGACCTTAAGCTGAGGTGTGTTGCTGAAATGATGTGAACACTTTAAGACCTTAAACTGGAGTGTGTTGCTGAAATGATGTTAACACTTTAAGACCTTAAGTTGGGGTATGTTGCTGAAATGATGTTAACACTTTAAGACTTTAAACTGGAGTGTGTTGCTGAAGTGATGTTAACACTTTAAGACTTTAAACTGGAGTGTGTTGTGTAACCTGATATTTCTGTATGCCAATAATGGCATTGTTATTGATAATGAGACTGAAATCCTTCATGATTAATGTGTGAGACGTCAGATAGAATATGGTGTTATTTATTTAACAATTTGTTGAAACGTGATTTTTGTATAAATCTAAGAAATATGTCTATCAAACCTACATGTAATATTAGTAAAACACTTTCTTGATTGTAAATATCAACTATCTGTACTCCGAAGATAGCCTCCATTACACTGAAAACTGTACCTGGTTTATAAATCATGGATTTAACTACATCTGTGTGCTGGATGCTGTGATTTGTTGCTTAAAACTTCTACTAATATTCTAATAATAGCGGAATACTTAAAAACAAAGAACACTTTACAGTGGACTTGGATGATTGAGTAACTGTTAAACTAGTTGATTTTGAGGGATTCTGTTTGTTCTGTTTGTCACTCTTTTCATGGTTGGAATAGAATTGTGCAACCCCCCCCCCCAAAAAAAAAAAAAAAAAAATGTACACAGGGAAAAAAGAAAACAAATTGCAGTCCATTTTATGACTTCTTTTAAAAATACATCTATTTTGCTATAAGCTTTTGGTAAATAATTGCAAATTTTAAACAACAATAATTGTAATTTTACAGAAACATTTGGTGATGACATTTGTTGGGAAGGTGAATAAATGTATTTGAGATAAATCTTTTTGTTTATCAGTTGATCAACTTTTATCGGTAGATGCTTTAAAATGTAGGAATATTAATATTTATTTTCAAGGCATTGTTCTTTAAATGTCTTAAGAGAAATACTTTAATTGTTGTTAATATTGAGAATTTTTTAATTGGACTTGTAATTTGGCTGTTGATAGCTTTCTATTGGCAATAATGTTAAATCCTATCAATTTTGATAAGAGATGTTGTCAAGATGTCTTTCTGATAGAGATGTTGTCAAGATGTCTTTCTGATAGAGATGTTGTCAAGATGTCTTTCTGATAGAGATGTTGTCAATATGTCTTTGTGACGGAGATGTTGTCAAGATGTCTTTCTGATAGAGATGTTGTCAATATGTCTTTGTGACGGAGATGTTGTCAATATGTCTTTCTGATAGAGATGTTGTCAATATGTCTTTCTGATAGAGATGTTGTCAATATGTCTTTCTGATAAAGATGTTGTCAATATGTCTTTCTGATAGAGATGTTGTCAATATGTCTTTCTGATAAAGATGTTGTCAATATATCTTTCTGATAGAGATGTTGTCAATATGTCTTTCTGATAAAGATGTTGTCAGTATATCTTTCTGATAGAGATGTTGTCAATATGTCTTTCTGATAAAGATGTTGTCAATATGTCTTTCTGATAAAGATGTTGTCAATATATCTTTCTGATAAAGATGTTGTCAATATATCTTTCTGATAAAGATGTTGTCAATATATCTTTCTGATAAAGATGTTGTCAATATGTCTTTGTGACGGAGATGTTGTCAATATATCTTTCTGATAAAGATGTTGTCAATATGTCTTTGTGACGGAGATGTTGTCAATATATCTTTCTGATAGATATCTCATTTGTTTCTCACCCCATCAACAGCCAGGGCCATGTTGAGGAAAGGTCTCTTGTTGGTTACCTTAGGGAATATCCATAGGAAGGCCCATTGTTCCTAAAAAGAATCAATTGTATATAATGTATCCTACCCAAGGTTACAATCACAACATCACAGGACAATCCAGGAAAAGATAACCCACCCTGGGTAAGGATCAGACCACAAATATTATATCTGCCCCTGAGGTTGGTAAGTCTGGTATTCTACGCACAGAGATATATTGTTAGTTCATGTCTCTGTAATAGATGTATTGTCAGTCGCCCTCGTTTTCATAAGAGATCTTGTCCATTTTTGTCTTTGTAATGAAGATAGTGTCATTTGTATTTTTATTAAGATGTTGTTAGCTCATTATTTAAGTTTGAAAATAATTATTTCATGTCCAAATCAGAGTGGGTGTTTCCAGCTCATTTCTTCCGTGACTTTAGGAAACTGTGGATTCACTTTGTCCATACATGATCACATTTATAAAATCATATTTGTCTTTAAATTTAAGCTGTTTTACATGGAATGTTAGTTGTATGAATGTTCAATTTAATAAAACAAGATCTTAATAACTTAATTTTTGTTTTAATTATTGAAGCAGATGTCAGTAAGGTTCCAGACTGATGATATACCTCAGTCAAGGGTTATTACATTCAATAAGAATATCTATATCTCAGTCAAGGGTTATTACATTCAGTAAGGAATCTCTATACCTCAGTCAAGGGTTATTATATTCAGTAAGGAATCTCTATATCTCAGTCAAGGGTTATTACATTCAATAAGAATATCTATATCTCAGTCAAGGGTTATTACATTCAGTAAGGAATCTCTATACCTCAGTCAAGGGTTATTATATTCAGTAAGGAATCTCTATACCTCAGTCAAGGGTTATTACATTCAGTAAGAATCTCTATATCTCAGTCAAGGGTTATTACATTCAGTAAGGAATCTCTATACCTCAGTCAAGGGTTATTATATTCAGTAAGGAATCTCTATATCTCAGTCAAGGGTTATTACATTCAGTAAGGAATCTTTATATCTCAGTCAAGGGTTATTACATTCAGTAAGGAATCTCTATATCTCAGTCAAGGGTTATTACATTCAGTAAGGAATCTCTATATCTCAGTCAAGGGTTATTACATTCAGTAAGGAATCTCTATACCTCAGTCAAGGGTTATTACATTCAGTAAGGAATCTCTATACCTCAGTCAAGGGTTATTACATTCAGTAAGGAATCTCTATATCTCAGTCAAGGGTTATTACATTCAGTAAGGAATCTCTATATCTCAGTCAAGGGTTATTACATTCAGTAAGGAATCTCTATATCTCAGTCAAGGGTTATTACATTCAGTAAGGAATCTCTATACCTCAGTCAAGGGTTATTACATTCAGTAAGAATCTCTATACCTCAGTCAAGGGTTATTACATTCAATAAGAATATCTATATCTCAGTCAAGGGTTATTACATTCAGTAAGGAATCTCTATACCTCAGTCAAGGGTTATTACATTCAGTAAGGAATCTCTATATCTCAGTCAAGGGTTATTACATTCAGTAAGGAATCTCTATATCTCAGTCAAGGGTTATTACATTCAGTAAGGAATCTCTATATCTCAGTCAAGGGTTATTACATTCAGTAAGGAATCTCTATATCTCAGTCAAGGGTTATTACATTCAGTAAGGTATCTCTATATCTCAGCCATGTGCTATAACATTGTATATTCAGTAAGGAAATCACACTCAAAGTGAAGATATGAATAGTACAAAATTTCACCTCAAGACATGATTGTGTCAATTTTTCACTTTCAATTTCTTCAATTTGGCTATATTTCTTTCCTTTATATACCATGATTAGCTCACCTGACCTGATGGACCAAGTGAGCTTATGCCGTAGCGCAGTGTCCGTCAGGCGTCACCTTTTCCATTTAAACAACTTCTCAATAACCAGCCGACCAAATGTCATAATATTTAGCCTGTGGATTGCTGGGATGTAAAAAGAATTGAATATTTTTTCAAACGTCATAAAATGAACAATGGATTCTCTTTTCTCTATAAATATCACCTTTCAAGGTGTCATTTTTTTTTTGTAACTTATCACAAAAAATAAAGATAAAATCAAAAGTGGTGATATCCATGCCTTGTCCTGACTGGACACCTTCTTTTCATATATATTATATTGCCCTGCATCCAAGTTGGGTGTCAATATTTCACAAAAAGCACCATACTCGTCAAAGTGTCTGCTTCTATGGTTTTGGAAGTGTGAATTGTTGGCAAATACAGATCAGCATGTGATCAGGACACAGTAGTAGTGACCATTTTTGCTGAACAAAGAGACGAAGTAACAAAAGAATTTCCAAGAAATAATAAACAAAATTGTAAGGAATTGAAATTTATTTTAATTTGCTTTTCCCCTTTATATATGATGTACAATTATTGACAGCTTTACAACGTTATGTATCACATAATATACTGCAGACATTTTAACAGCAAAACCCTCTACATTCAGACTTTCTTTCCTTCCAGTACACAAGGAAGAAACCTCTATACACAGTTAACATTCTGCATATTTACTGATTAGAATCATTGAAAAATCATTTTTTGTCTTTTGTTCATCGTGAGTTTGACAAAAGTTTAATGTGGAAGTAATTCTAGTCTTAACAACACACAGAGACTTTTCTTTTCGAATAGAACAAGTGAAATTGCTTTCTAATAATTCATACCATTTATCCTTTACTATTGCATTTCAACAAAAATATCAAGGTAAATAAGAGGCCCAATGGGCTGGTATTACTCACCTGGTATTCAATTTTTTTTTTTTTTTTTTAAATGAATATATTAGAACACAACTTAGATATTCAAATAGGTTTATACCAAATCTATTTAAACAAAATTTGAAACTAGGATATTTACAATACAATTTTAGGGCAGGTGAAGCCAGTGGAGTCTTTAAATGAATTAGAGTCCTGTGACCGTGAATATGGGTAAATTTGATTTTGCTTTCTAAAAATTCACTGAGCTTTATCACATCTAGTACTTTCATTTAATTAAAATAGAAGTCCTTTGAGCACTGTAACAAATTTGACCTGTGACTTTGAATATGGGTCAAGGTCATTTCTTTTCACAAACTTCGTGTGGCTACCTCCCATGGACCTATAAGCCAAACATCTTTATTTTAGGTCCTTATGTTAATAAGAGTAAATTTGATAAATATGACTCCTGTGACCTTGCATATCAGGTAATTTCTTCCCACAAACATTGTTGGGCTTTATCCCAAGAACACACAAGATAAATATCATGGTTCTTGACATTTCAGGCCAGGTTAGCATAAAATATTGATAATAATAAGCAGGGACTCGTTGTTAGCATTGTATATTTTTGTTCTTTGTGCATCAGGATCAAAGTCAAATCATTATAATCTGTGTAGATGGAGCAAATACCTTTCACCCTCATAGTTACTGTAATCATTGATTTATAGTTGTCTTCTTTAACAGTTTATCATTTTTTCAAAATCATTAAGTGATTCCAATATTTAGGTTTCTGATACTTTTTAATCTAATGGCTATATATTGTAAAGTACCTGAATGCTTAATTGCTGGTAATGAAACCTGACATTATAATAAGAAAAAACTATTGGATTTTTATAAAATTTTGATTGGAACTAGCTATGCATTTCATATCACTTCTGTAACAAAGGTAATAAGACTACAAGCTCTCAACTTTTGATCGATTTTCCGATGGACAAATATGTTCTTCAACACTGGTTCTATATCAGATGAATCATATGATAAGAAGTGCAAGTATATAACCAAAGTCTTACACAAAGTGCTCACAGTAGAATATGATAAACAATTTTGTACAGACACCGAGCATGCATGAATCTCAGCAGTCAGTGCTGAATTACAAATTACTAAATAGGGATTATATACTATATATATGTAATTATTTGGGTTCGTATCGCTGGTAAAGTTTCATTAAAAGTAAACTTTTTTAGCATAATGATGCAATAAGCCATGCTCTATGGATGGATAACTATCACTATAAGTTTAAATGGATTGATGGCCAACCAAATATCAAGATTTATCAAAATATGTGTAAAACACATCACACTTATCAATATTCTGATTGTTCAGTCATCACTCCTACAGTACTATACTAACATACCACCAAACTTGTCCTTTTTCCTTCCCTATTGTATTGTTATCTCTTTCTCTACCATGAGGTGAAGTATCAAGCCATTGTATTCCTGTTCACAACCAAATACATTTAAACAAAGTTTGTAAAAATCCTACTGAAGTGATGACCAAAAGGAAATTAAAATTAAAAATGTTTAGTTAGTGATCAGATATAAACCAATAAGCACATAGTTCACAAAAATGTGATTTATCTTTCATACATATTCTTCGTCACATATCAAATATGTATGATAATAAATGGGTCATATTTCATTTCCTTTGAATTAACAGCTGGCTGCATAAACGTGTAATACCACACAAAATGAAAACGACATCATTTACTGTGTGAAGGAGTTGAAATTTCCACATCTATAAATACACATATGATAAGAGCAATATATTATATTTGTAATAGGGTAAAGGGACAGAATGATTTTCAGCATATCTAGATAATACAGTACATATCTACTTAGTGAAAGTTGGCAAGGTGATGACAATATCACTGAGTGCATGCAAAAATGTTTTATGATGACACAAGAAAGTCATTTTTAAAAGATATATTGTACATGATCTACCACATACTTATTACTGGGGAAGTTGTGTAGATTATCTTAGTTTGTTTAGAGTACATTGAAAAATATCAACAGCAGTATTTTGTTAACAGGAAAACCATGAAGCATAAGTGAAGTTTGATTTTTTTAGCTTTAAGTTCCCTCACAAAAACATAATCATAAGGTTTTTTCTTGTTTTCTTTGATTTAATGATTAATGTGTAGATTTTGTCAGTTTTCCATGATAAATTTCTAACATTGTGAGATATACCATTATATAACAGGCAGTATCTACAGCTTCCATGTTTTGTTAACAATTCTGAAGTGTATGAACACTTCCTTATTTGGTCAAGTATCATTAAACATTAATGAGGGGAGGGAACTCAAGATAATAAGGATACTAAGGAGATTCAAAATCAGCTCAAGTTTGTATGAACTCAGCACTTTTCTACAACGTCCATATTGGAGTATATACCTTACACCAGTACAGGAACTATGATCTAAGTCTACCATTGAAAACAGCAACATTGAGATGACCAACATTTATTTAACCAAACCAACTTACATACATCTGTAATAATGGAACATAATGTCATGATCCTTAATCCTTGGATAACATGTCCAAAAGTTATCTCTATTAACATCAATCATAGAGAGGATCACATGAGAATTCTGTAAAGAGCTTTCATATAAATCCCACTAACTAATAGTGGAATACAATACTTTGGTGTTTAGTCATTTGTAGTGTTCAATTTCATATGGACAGGATCAAAAGTGAAATTTCCACCAAAAAAGTTGTTTTGTTTCACAATAAGCACAAAAGTAACATGGTGCACAGTATGCAGATCACAATGAAATGTTGGCTTCAGGCACCTTAGCCCATCAATGCTGATTTGAAAACAATTTTAGCTCTAGTCAATATTAAACATGCAATCAAGACCAACTGGATTCTTCTTAGCTTAAAAATCGCAATTGAATTTTGCTTGATAACTTCTTTCTTGGTTTTTGTATTTTTCTTTCATGGTTTTTGTATTTTTATGTATTTATATCAATATCATAAAAATGGTATGATTGGTCCTTTTAGAGAAATTTCCACATTTACCATAAATATGAAGCATAAGAGTAATTCCATTCAAATATTTTTTCAAAAATCACAAGTTCTTGATGCCCCAAATCTGTGGTGAATGTCTTGTAAGTAAAGGGTCTGGGACCTATCTGTCATTACATCAGTGATGACAAAAACAAGAGGTGGAGCCTGATACCTTGTTCTTCAGCTGGACAAAGTAGGACAAAGATGTGGAACCAACTTTGCAGATTAAGAGACAGCTCATTCTGAAGGGAGTGTAACTATAACCCAACTATCACAGATTTTTGGAGGATTTTTCATTCTTGGTGGTGTAGTGGATTCTGAAAGTGTGGGCAGTGTCCCAAAAGTCTCAAAGTGATATTGATTTATTATATAACATTCACAATGTGTTTTTTCCCAAAATCAAACTCCTAAGAAATGTTGGGCTATTCAAATTAATGTGCATTTAAACAATGTTATACAAAAGATAATGACATTTCTAATTTTATGTCATAAATATTTCTTGCACAATAGTTTTATGTTTCAAGTTTAAGGTTAGTTCAATTTAATATAAACATTATTGGCAGAAAAAAAGATATCTGTATGTATGGAATGTATAAATATGTAATGATGACAACCCCTATCACAATTTCTATATACAACTCTGATTTATATCTAGGACTGTTTCACAACTTGCTTTGTAGGGTAATGATAAAGGATGTCCATCATAAATCAATGCAAATTTTTGTAGTAGTTTCACTTTGGTCAAGACATAGAGATCAATAAGATACTTCAATTTCATCATTCTCAAAAGTTTCTTCGTTTTTTTAACAAAAATCTTGTGTTTTGATAAGCAAAATCTGTTCAGGAATGGATGTAAATACACACACATACAAGTAAAGATACAATTCTCATTTCTGTGTAACTGAATGTTTTTACTGAGACCACAGCAAATTCTGATCTTCTTAAATTGCAACTAAATTTCGTCTCACACCTCTGATCATACATAACATACAGAATGAATGCTACAAAATATCCATACTTAAATGCACTTCAACAAATTCCATACTACATACATTTTACATCACACAACAATACAAAACAAATATTAAGATAAACGAGTAAACTAAATTAGCCGCTTGTTGGGTCAAAACATAAATACTCTCTAAAATAATATTCTAGAACAATTTGATGTGATAAATAACAAAAGTGTGACATAAAATTGTTGAGTTATCTCCCCTTACTTGCTATCAAACTTCATGAAATGGATACGATTTTCAAATTAAACTCCAGAGGTGAACTATGAAAGTAATAGCAATGACACATAATAAAAATACATAAGAAAATTTGAAAATATATGTAAAAATGCTTTTAAATAAGCACTTTTATGTTAAATATCAGAAATGAAATAAACATATCTGCAATGTTTGTCAAGCTTTTCTTTTTTTCCAAGATCATTTTTAGGAAACACAATTGTAAATGATCCTAAATTACTAAGTTATATTTACTGGGAACATCTCTATATAAACAGGCAAACCTGCGCATCCACTATCTAGTAAATCTTTTTCCTACAAGAATTGTTTGTTACTTTTTTGAATGTTTGGTAATGTCACAGCAACAATAACCCATGTTTCACATTTATCACCATTATTTTCTTACCAACTATTGCACATAAGATTTGACAAAACCAAGAAACATTCCTTTAAAAGCAATTAAGTCTGCAAATTTTGAATGGAAATAAAAGACTAAATCCTGACTGTAAAATGACTTTTCACTTAAAAAAAAAAAAAAATAAGAAAAGGCAGTAAAAAAAGAAAAAAAAAAACAATGGGAAAAAACCACCTTACTGATTATGGTAGAAAAAACCCATTTTCAAAATCTTTTTATTCAAAACCCTTGAAGTTTGATGAACTCGTTTTTTTTTTTTTTTTTTGGCGCCTGTTTTTCATTCAAGCATGAATACTAGGCATATTGACACCATATGCATGTATGAGAACCAGAAAGCTGGTTTTGATGATGTCGTATGATGTTATTGATACTGAAAGAGTGGACAAGGTTTTATGTGGTATGTTAAAATGGATGTCGTCGCTGTCTATAGCAGATGTTCCCATCACAACATTGATGGATTTGAAGTATCCCGGTGATGTAGGTGCCAGTTAACAACAGCCACCTCCCTGGCTGCTACCACCGCCTGAGGAAGGCATGCTGGGATTGCTAGGAGAGTGTTGAGGTCCAATCTTAATGCCATTTGCCTATGGAAAAGGAAAAGATCAATATACATATCAATGAACTTTCTTAAAATAACTAACAGCAATAATTTAGTCTTAAGTGGTCATTTCCAATTAAATTTGAGTATTTGGGTGGTACAGGAAAATCAGTTATCTCTGGCTTTATTCCTGGAGAAACAAAAGCTAATCCCTATTTCATTCTTTCAAGTTTGTGATTTTTCTATCCTAAAACAGTGAAAAGAATTTACTTCCTCAGTATATTTCTTTACTTTCATTTGAACAATGGAGGATCTGTCATGATTGGAAATTCAGGTCTCATGGATTTAAGGTATTAATAGGAGAAAGCTGATACTTTGCTTAATCCACTTAAACATTTTTTTCTTGCATATGTTATAATAGGTATTTCATACATTTACCAATACAATTAACTCACCTCATTATTTATATCAAATACACCATCCTGTATCTTTTGGTAGATCTCTTTTGCAGTGTTGATGAAAGCCTGAAATATGTTATAGATTAATGAATATTTATCTACAAAATCTTACAAAAGTATTATCATTAACTGATATTAAGTTTCATCAGGAGGAAATAGTCATTTGTTATCTTGTTTTTAATAATTTGAATGAAATTTGTACATTCTTTACCAGATAAAATACAGTATTAAAAGTCTTATTATAATGACACACCTTAATTTCGAGTTTCAACTTTGAAATACGAACCTCTTCAACATTAGCAGCTGTTTTAGCAGAGGTCTCCATAAATATAAGTCCGTGCTCTCTAGCGAATGCTTCACCCTCCTCCTTTTTGACATCACGTCTTGCTTCTAAATCACTGCATGGGGTAAATGAAACATTCTGTCAATTTTATATAATTTCTGGAAAAGCTGAGTTGACTTTGGGAATATGCTACTAAAATTGTATTTCAATGGGTTAAAGAGTGCATTTTTGGAGGATAACAAGGCACACAAATTTAGTACAATAGTCTTACTTATTATTGACATGTCTGTTACAATTTGGTTTTCAGATCAGAACTTCATTTTCCATACATTGAGGGAGCCAGTTACCAAGATGCTGGAAATTAGGATTTCAAAATGTTTGAGATATCATAGGATCAGCACAAAACCAGGACTCCAAAAAAATCTTTGACATAACCACATTGAAATATTTATAAAAAGCAAAACTTTATACTAGGGTGCGATTGCACTGTTCCAGATTTTTTAACAAAAAGAAATCAAGAAACTATGAAAACGGACTTCCTTAAACGTTCATTGAAGCAGAATATCTAGGTCACCTTGACTCGTTCACCTTAACAAGGAAACCAATTATAAGTTCTGATGAAAAAACCAAAAAGATGAGATTGGAAGAAAAGACACTAAGAACAGTATTAAACAGCATACACAACATAAAGTAAGTTGTCTCTCTTTGTGGAGTTACCTTTTGTTTCCTATCAACATGATGACCATGTTGGAGTTGGAATGCTGTCTGGCATCTTCCAACCAAGTTGTTAAATGATTGAATGTGTCTCTCCTGAAAAACATAGCAATCATTAAAACAGTATAAAAACACAGGATTTCAAGCAACATGTATGCATCTATTTAACAAATAACTTGTTTTTTGCATTTAAAGATATTCAGTAGTTTCACTAGATCAATGTATATTACAGTTTCATTAAACATCTATCAGACTTCTTTCACTGACCATCTATCAAAACTTCTTTAATCAAATAAGATTTTGCTGCCAACCTTGCCTTTAATAAATGCAATACACTGACAGGGGAAGAGGACCAGGAAAGTCTGTGTACACGATTATCTGGTAATACTGCACACCAACAGTAGCCGACTAGCAGCCTGTCTATAGTAAGATATGGTGAAATATAGTTTATCTGGTAATGTCCTACACCAGTAGTGCCCCATCAGCCTGTCTATAGTAAGATAGGGTGATGTATACTTTACCTGGTAATGTCGTACACCAATAGTGCCCCGGCAGCCCCTCTGTAGTAAGATCTTGTAATGGACCTGAATGACTCCTGCCCAGCCTACCAATACAAGAGTGGGAAAAAAGGGATGAAAAATTGCTGCTTAAAAATTGAGAGGATAAGTCCCAGATGTACAGAAAAAATAACAAGTCATTATTATAAGACAGACCTAATTAAGCACAAATAAATATCAATACATTTACTTGTTGCTGCAGTGTTCAAACTGATCAGATATGATTTTGAATTGTCTCATGTAAAAACTTCTCAGTGCCAGAAATCTTCTTTTCTTACTTCATTTCATAAGCTTCTCATAAAATTTTAACTCTGTCAGAGGAAAAATGCATTGACATGGAAAAGTATTGGTAGTAAATATTTCAGTAAATAAAGATATATGTGGTTCTTCAAAAAAAAAACCCAGTTCATGTCTATTGAAATACATACTGTATCCCAGATCTGTAGTTTGATTTGTTTTCCATCAATAGTAATCATACGAGCTCCAAATTCCACACCTGTAAAGAGTAATATTATTCAAATTGTTAAAGACTGGCCACCAGCAATATTTTATTCACTAACAGCCCAAATATATTCAGTTTTTCCTAAAAGGTGTTATAGTTATACAAATATTTAATAATGTATGAAACAAACCTAAACACACTTTCTGATTCTGGATTCTTTTACAGTTGCAGCAATATGAATCCCTACCACAAGTGCGAAATTAAATTCCCAAATAACCATGAAATTTAAAAATTCTTCTCTTGACATTCATCAGTGTTTTCATAAAAGTAAAAACTGAAATTCCTTTTATTATTCTTTCAATACATTTGTATTTACCCAAAACATTGACAAACTTGACATATTCTAATCCAGAAAAGCTTACCTATAGTTAAATCATGGACAGGCTGGAATCTCTTGTCTGTGAACTGAAGGAGGAGACAGGATTTTCCAACTCCTGCAAAGATTATGACTGACATGCTGACATTGTTTAGATAACCAGAGATGTTATATTCTGTTTTTCATTTCCCTCAGGCAGCAGTTACTTGTACATTCCTTCAAGCTTGATCTTGGACGCAATTACATTTTAAGTACTCAAACCCACATACAACAGAAAATGTTCATTTCCAGTGAATATAAAATCAAATGATTATCTGGTTACCTGATCAATGGGAAAGGCCTGATGAAAACTGTCTGATATACTCAAAGTAAATTATCATCTATGATTTAAGAAACTCAAACCAGGCTATATAAGGCCATTGTACAGATCTCATTGAGGAATGAAAAGAATTTTCATTCACATTAGAAGACATGACGATATTCTTGAGAGAAACTAAGACTTGCTTATCATCAACTGTTTCCAAATCTCTTTGTTATACTTATTCTTAGTCTTTCTACCATTTAAATCCTTTCATAGTCATAAATGCACATATCTCAAATATTGGATTTTGCTTCTCACTGATAATATGATCCTCAAGAATGATGGAGATACTACATATATAAACTAAAACAAAACAGCAAATTTTAGACCACACCACCTGCTTATAGGAATTTCAATAATACTGCACATGTCAGATTAGGTCAGTGCCTGGTTATGGGCAACATAATACATCTGCCAGAAACACTGTTCAATTCAAGAAACCAACTTAAAATGTCAAATGGCTACTCAATAGAAGTATACTTAGTAAATGAAAACACCAGTAAGATCAGTGGTGAAGCTCTGGTATTCTAAAACTGACTGGACATAAGACTGCTTAACAGATAGTACTTCTCTATCAAATGTTAAAAGTTTTTAGAATAGCAGCTATTTGACCACTTTTGGACAAATACGTTATAATTTCAAAATGATCAAGTTTGCATGTGTCAGCGGACAATGAGATTCCATACAATTCTTTTAGGCCCAAGAACAAAATATTTGGAAATTTTTTTAAAGCGTACATCATTAGTTACCTATTCTGAGATTCTATTGACTTTTTGAACTGGTCTAGAGATTATTAATGTCAGAATAATTTGGACTATCAATTGTCTAACCTTTCTATTCTTCACTAGCTTTCTACTTTTAACTTCTTCAAAATTGCCTTATCACAAGACAAAAAGATGTCTGATGTAGTGCCATCAATCATCACCCAAAGAAAATTTCTCTTTAAATTTCTAGCCACATGAAAACTAAAAAAACAAACAAAATGCAATAAAACATCATTATTACACTAAAATGTCAAAACATGTTACAATTTGGACATCCTTTGTAACCTTCGTTAGACTTAAAATTACCCTCCAAGCGTCCTCAGCTTAAATACTATAAATGGATATTACATAACTGACAGATGTCATTCTCGTATCGCATTTACTCATGAGTCAATTTATGTCCTATGTCATATGATCGTAGAATCTTCCGGAGTTAATGCCGGAATAGTTTATGCAATAATATATTTTTTTGTAATTGAATAAAGATAATTTCTCTCAAAATGGAAGCATAAAAAGGTCGTATAAAGAAAATATTTAGATGAGTAGGATGTCTGTAAATATCGATTTTTTGTTTCGCTCTCCCGATTGGAATGACATTTTATCAACGGAACAATACTCCAACAAAGCATATTTTTGCAACCTCTTAATGGAAACATCCACAAGTGTAAATTTTGAATGCCAATGCCCTTTTTTCATTAAACGAGAAGTCAGATTTCACAAATAGTCAATAGACATAGGTGGTGCTTCGTGTTTGGGCAGCCATTTTGTGAATTATTCGTCGTTTACAGAAATAATGCGACACATCAACAGCCTGTGCTTTGTGAACACGTATGCATCCAATATATTACGTTGTTAGAAGCATGGATTTACGGAAGATGAATTACCTGTATCTCCGATAATAATATACTTGAATAAATAAGCGTATGACATCTTTATCCACGAAAAAGAGTTGGTCTGGGTTGATGATGTCAAGTTTGTTGACGTCACACTATCCTAACCCGGAAGTAGATCAATATTGGACCTTACCCTAATATTTGAGTCGAACCATATCCGGAAAATGTTCCGAGGGAAGCGTGATGTTGATACAAAAATATGAAAAATCAAGATGGCATACATATACTTCCGGTCATAACGTAGATATTTTTAAAATGTCAGTAAAGGTATGAACAATAAACTAGAGCTGAAACTAATAAAGTTTCCTATGGAAGCGCTCGATCGATATTTTACATGGTCAATATCGATCTTGTACTTACCTGATTAAAAAAATATCTTATTTATGAAATAAGATACACAATTTACTGATGTTTTACATTTATTAACTTATGGAATGAATATATAATTTATCAAATAAGACGTCTAATATATTTGTCTTTATAAGATAGCAGATTCAATAAGTAGATGTCTTTAGTAAATATATGTGATAAACTTCATTCGATATCATATTTCGTATATTTCACATAAAATTTAAATAATATATCTTCTAAACAAACAAGATACCCTATCTAATTTCGACAAGTACTGAACCGCTTCGCGAGTAAATGACAACTTGGCTTGCCACAGGATACTGTAACGTAGCTTACGTTTGTTGGCCCGAGGATTGGGTACTTCGTAAAAAAAATAGTATTTTTTTTACAGGGTACTCTTGAATAACCTTAATATAACAACAATTTATATCCTATATCATCATTTAGCACCCTTTTGCAGTTCATTATCCCATATAGTATCATGATTAGATCAATTCTGATATCATACATGGGTTCTGAAAATAATAGTACGGGGAGTCATTTAATTTGTATCATTGGCGAGACTAACAACTGTTATTACGAGTATTGAAGTCGATATGGGGCCGTTCAAGCTAGCACTATTTACATCGTGCAAATCTGATGCAAATATTCAACATTGTCATACATAATTTCGTCCCACCAGATCTGTAAAACATCTTTTATCTTAACTAAATTTGTACATAGCGAACTAGGTTTAAACGCGAATATAAACACTGTCCTGTTGTTGCATTTGTAGTCAATATAAACGACACGGTGTTGCAGGCCATTATAAATATAGCGCGAAATAGTAAGTTTACCTGTGAAACCCAGTTGTTGAAGTTTTTTTTCATAGACTACCAAAATTATATAACAAAAAAGCCCTTGTAGATCGTCTACAAAGCCATATAGAATAAGAAGGGGGGAAATCCCATCTTTTTTGTTGGCATGAAATGTGGAAACTATTATATTAAAATAGAGATATTTTAAAACAAAGAGAAAATACCAAACGAGAATCATAATCCAACTTGAACAGAAGAAATATTTACACGAATACTCTCATGAAAAAGTACAGAGAGAATAAGACCAGGGTCCGTATTCATGAAACCATTCTCATGCTCAAGCATGAATTTTGTGCTCAAGTCTTATATCTTCCTTTAGTTAAAAATGAATAAAAAAGGCTGATTTTGAAATATTTTTTTTTTGAAAATATTTTGAAAGGACTTAAGCTTAATTCTATATTCAATGTTTATATTTGACATTTGTACTATTGATATGATTTAGGTGAATTATGAAAAAGTTATCTTGAGTAAAAAATCGATGATTGAGCATGAGAACGGGTTCATGAATACGGGCCCAGGTGTTCCAGAAGAGTAAGCGTCTTCTGCCCCATCGACGACACTCACCATTTAAATCTTTGTCAATTCAAGTAAGACATTTTACGTTTCAAAACAAGAATAATGTATACAGCAACAGAGCCATCAAACACGTCCAGCTTCCTGTCGCACAATGTAATAGAATTTCGCTCAAAAAGATCGCTTGGACGACTTTAAAAACCTCCCATAATTTTCATCAATCTTCAATCCCTCGAAACCCTGTGTTGTTTGTCCAGATATTGCACGAAAATTGGTACATTGAGGACAGACCCTTGAATCAATTGCAATAGGTAAACACCATAGATTAGGGAGTGCAGGGCCGTTACCATCCACAACAATTAACATTTATAATCGAAATATATACATCACATAAATACACTGTTATCAGCGTAACAACACCTGCTATATTAGGTTTTTATGACGCACATTCCATTAATATGACGTAGCAGTGTTGTGATTAACCTAACTAAGGTTCCCGTTGTTTCCATTGTGATGACATAACTTCATCAGAAGCATTATTATGTCACTAAAGAAAGATATGAGGGAGAATCTGATTTTGTTTTTTCAAATATTGCAAAAGTATGCCAGTAACTTATAAATCAAAAGTGTAATAAAGCCATATACATCAGTTTTTTCGGTTATAACACACATTTGATTAAAATGACCTACCAGATATCAATCTTGCCCATTGTTATAGATTGTCACAACTTGTACCCAATCTTTTCGCTTGTTTTAGAAGCATGTAAAATATGCCTGCAGTCATTGTAATTAAACACATCATATGAATTTTAGTAGGAACTGTTAATGGTTAAATGTTCCCATTCTGACGTTATAGCTTCATTACATCATTTGTATTGAACGTCATCAAAGAGATATATTAGAGGCCATATCGAAGTAGTTTCGCGAATATCAAGTTTCAAATCAAAGTTTTATGTAATAAACATTCGTTTCCATTGAATATGAGATTAATGAAGATTGTCATGAATTAGGCCTTTTGCCTTGCCGGAGGCCTGGGAAAATAGAAAATTCTTAACCTCGTTTGATCCAAATAAGACCCTCTTTATTCTTTAAACGTAAATGCATTTCTGGTCTGCATCCACCTTGTATAATGTGTTTGTTGTCTCCCTTGGCTTATATTTACAAAATACACGGGTTCGACCAATCAAATCTCTAGTTAACTTTACTGTGAACCTAGATTAGAAATAGGTTTGTGACTCAATGTCAGTCAGTGCTGAATACATTTCATGATATAAACCTAGCGTCGTTTTCTAATACTCAGTTATTGTCAGTAGACCTGTTATATTTCTGTCAAGATGTCGGTCTTCGCCAAATTGTTTGGAAAGAACAAAAATGAAACAATCGAACCGACAGAAGCTATTCAGAAATTAGTGGAAGTGCAGGGGATGTTGGAGAAAAAGTCAGCATTCCTCGAAAAGAAAATCGAACACGAATTGGACACAGCTAAGAAGAACGGAACGAAGAACAAGAGAGGTATCAAATAATAACACAATTATAGACATTACCCCATAATTATCAGCACGATTTCGTATATTGAATACAGTAAGTTCGTAACTTCAGTAGTAGTTCAAGACCTGCTTTTCCGGGTTAGGGTTGTGTGCCCTAAATTCCAATAATGGATTTGAGATTCTAAATCAGGGCGCTTAACTAGTATTGGCACTAAGAAGGTATATGCACCTGAGGTCTCGCAATGTCTACTATCACCGTTGCTCTTAATGATATTGGCAAATTTCAGGACTATGGTATAACAGTTTGGTTATGAAAATACATCCTTACATGTACATATATGTATAAACTTCATAGCAGTTACATTAATGGTAGAGAAATAAAAATTGTTTAGATTAAAAATTTCTTCTGATTTCTGACATATGATTGGCATGGTCACCAACTCAACTAATGCTTAAAAAACGAAATACTATTAATTCCAACCTAACACTACAAATTTAAAATCAACAACATTGTCATGGTAACAAACTGCTCACATTACAGCAAATTCCAACTCAGAATGCCTTCACAACATGTCCATGTGTAAACACTAGGTGTTAGACAAAGATTTGAGACTGCCCAAATTGTAATCTCCGACACAGTGCAAAACTATTCTGAAAAATTTGAAACCCCACATTGTCCAATTGAACACGACAAGACCAATTTTAGCAATGATTTATTTTCAAAATCTTGATTTAAACCATTATTATTGGATAATCTAATGAACAGAAATATCACCCATGGCCACACCTTGAAATCCTACTGCAATAGAATGAAATTTCCATGAAACAGTCAAGCCTTATTGAAAAGGAAAACAAAACATAACAATTACCTGATACCACATGATGTTATCTGAACTCTTGTATTCTCTGCCTATGTCCTGTATGTCTATCATGGTGTTCACTTCTGATATAAAGGGTACAGTATATTTGATAATAATACTTTACTTGCTAACACTCTTACATTGGGTACTTGGTCTCACAGATGTCTGTTCATATGTCCATCAACATTTTCAGGGGTTGGGCCAATATGTTTCATATGCCCATCAACATTTTCAGGGGTTGAGGCTAAATGGCATTCAGTTAAAGTGGGAAAACAAATAGGATTCCCAAGCACTTGTGGGCAGGACATTATTCTTGTATGGTGTGGAAGACAGAATTATTTAAGCCATCATCATCTCAATTTGTGAAAGCAGACCTTGAACAGGGTCAGGGGATAAAGATCTGCATAAATCAAACAAAACACAAAACATTGGTGCACATTATGAACAGATGAGCCAAATTTTACATATATGTACCCACTAGAACATAGAACAGTCAGTGAATATGAAAAGTCCATTTTGTATGTTTACTTTCACAAAGGACTTGTTGGCTTGATTGTATTTGTAGACAAACATGTCTAGTTAAGATAATTTTATCCTCTGACATGAGAAGACCCTATAGGCCCCAATTAATGTTATGTATGACTTACAAATTTTACTATAGCCTTTTGAGGAGCTCTAAACAAAGTTTCATTGACTGAGGGGAAATATTGCATGATGACTATACAAAGTTTTAAATTGATACATGCTTTTTTGACTAACAAAAAAAGCATAAATACCAATCAAAGGCAGATCAATAAAACTACAAAAATGTCTTGACTGAAGTAAAAAGGCTTCACAGTTTTAGGATAATTTGTGTCACAACAGATACATTATTATTTGTTACCTGAAATATTGCAAAACAATGTATGTAAACTTCCATAAGTCATTGCCATCTATCTGTCAGTCAAATGTCTTGTGTTCATTCAAATACTGTTTTATTGCTTGTATATCCATGGGATTAGCCCCAACTTCTTACAACTTACTAGACCCTTTCCCATGTCTTTTGTTAAATTGATAAAAAGTACTCATAACCAGTCCTTAAAACTTGGCCTGACTTTATACATTGACAAAGTGAAACTATGACTTTTCTGTATACCAAATAAACACTATAATTATGTGTAATCAGTCTAAATCAGTTGTGTCAGGCTTTCAAAGCTTGCATTTTTTTTGGCTTTTTATTTCATATCAAACAAACATCTTACTAGTTCCCTTTTCATTTTGGCCTGCTTGTAGTGCTTCGAGTGATATAGGTTACTTTTTTTGTATTGCTTGAAACATTCATTGATTATATTAATAAATATCTTATGTGATATTCCATGTAATGAAATTTGAAAAAAGACAGACAGCAATTATATATACTACAGAGTAATATAAAAATAGATTTATGTTAAATTGATAAATTTGTAATCAGTAGTTGATTGAAGAATAGCTCCAAATGAGAATACACATCATATTTGATAAAAAATTACTTCTGTGGACATGGACATCTCATCCAGATTGTAGGAGTTTGATTAAAAGCCACATGCTGACCAGCTAGACTCATACACAAGGTTTGGGATATCTCTATCCACAACAGAACAGACTTCTGTTTTATAATGATTCTCACATGATACAAAAAAGAAGTTTAACAAATGGTAAGTTTTCGTGAAAGCTTTTCATAACCCTGTCATCAATGTTTCATGAAATATGCGTTAAAATTGATGATGATATCAGTTTGTGACATGATTATGCTACATAAATAATAATGCTACCATATTACGAGTGGCATCACAGTACATGCCAACAGTCTTTACCTACTCATTGTGAGTTAATTATCCCATCCCTAGCAACCACCGGATCACCCTGTGAAATCTGTGATTTTGTAATTTTGGAATGTTTGGAATTACGGTACAAGTTGGGTGGAATGCTTTCACACATCCATTTTTAGCCCACAACCTGTTCATGTTTCAAATTGAAAACCATGTTCTATGAATGTCCAAAGCAGAGCCCGGCATGGCATTTTGCATGGAATGAGTCCTGTTAACTTGCTCTAGTCTACAGCAATTACCTCTCAGGAAAGTCAGTATACAGCAAATATTAAGCCTACCAATGTTATATCGTGTTTCTGAAAACCATTTCTTGGGCAGTGTGATCACGGTATCACTGTATGGACCCATTTATTTTCAACTCACACATTGTAGTTATTTACATTTAATTAGTGATGTAAAGAAATGGTTTGTCCACGCTATGTATAGATTGGTGGTCTGAAATCTACAACCGCCATTGAGAATTGTGGTCTTAAATATATAAATGATCAGAAGAAATGAAACGGCGTTTTCTGAATGTTCTACACATCGGTCATAATTAAGAAGAAAGGACCCAAGCTCCAACAAGAGTGCTTTTATGATGACCTTGAAGTTTAGGTGACCTTGACCGTGGTGTGTTGGAGGGACTCCATTCCTTTTTTGAAGATTGATGACAACCATAATGAATGGTGTGTAATTGTAGGAAATTGTGTGTTATTTTCCCTGTCAAAGAGCTTTCTGTTTCATATTTTCTTCTTTAATTTCTTCCTTTGATAGTAGTGGAACAGTGTTATGAGTATACTATGATATTCATTATGTATGAATACTATGCAGTATATCTGTATTTACACAGAAGACTCTTTTTAGGAATTCATGATAGATTTTAGATTCTCGGTATTATACATCTATCTATCTATCTATCTATCTTGATATTAATATTCAGAATTATTGATACTACTCGGAATTTCTTATCAGACATTCATTTCTCTTTCCTTATTATATTTTTGATGAAGATTAACATGAAAAATGAAAATGGGTGATATTTCTTATCAATTAAAAACTTAACTTTATACGATTACAATACAAATCATGTGAAAAAAATCCTTCACTCTTAGCATCAACAAGTCATTATACTGGTAGTTGATTCAATATATAAATACAATGTGATTAATAACTTTACAGAAATATTGAAATTTAATCCTAGTAATATATTTTGTTTCCGTTTGTTATTACATTAAACATATTACTATAGTGTCTTCTGAAGAATCCTATTCTTTTGAAGATATCTCTTTACAAATTAGAATACCTTATGCCTCATAGGCATAGGTTTACTTTTATAAATGCATGCATTCCTATTCAGGATGGAATATAGCAATTTTGTATATTTAAAAAAAACGTGTTCTAAAGATTTGGAGCCTGAATCAATCCTAAAATCATATTTTTAAATCTGTGTGTTGTCTGGTAATAAACCCAGCAGCTATGATCATATTTCAGTGCTAAAAAAATTGGTATAGACTTATATGTTTGAAAATAAGCTTTTGTTTTTTTTCTCATAAGCCAATCAGATTAGCAGTTCTGAAGATGGTACATGTATATCGCTCTTAATTGAAACAAATGCTCCAGAATACATATTAACATACACAGAATGGCTTACCTCTAGCTGCTCTAATTATAAATTTCTGAGCTTGATTGCTTTAAATTTGCTGCCCATCTGACCATATTGGGATTTCTGTAGACCATTTAGACATGGATCGGTTTTTATTGATTGATAATGCTTAAAAGATGAAGAACATTCAATTGATGTATCATGCATGATTTTAACATAAATTTTATGTGTCCGTTTTTCCTTTTTGTTTTTATATGATAATAACTTTTACTACTTGTTATTGGTAGCTATCAGCATCTAATGATGTTCTGTCATGCCCCCAAAACCTTTATCAACCATTATGATACATAGGTAGAATGAGGTTATTATATAGTGGTTTGCTTTAGCTTGTCTGGCTGATACAACATGTAGGTGAAACATCTCTACAAACTAGCTGTTTTGGTCATGGTTCATCAGCTACTCAGTTACAGTATATGTCTTGCCAAAATTTGAGGTATGCATTTCTAAAGTCAAGTTAATTGATCTGCAGTGACCTTGCATGCTCCTTGAGGAGGGGGTTGGGGGGTTGGGGGCTTTGTCTGTAGGTACGCATGAAAGTTTGGTTGTTGTTAAATTTTGAACATACTCAAAAACCTGATCTTGGTAATTAAGTTGCAGGGATTTGCCTGCGAAGGTCCATGCAGATTACAACCCAGAGGCCTGTGGTAGTCAATAGTCAAATGCTTTTAAGTAGGTTTGGGGCGTTGCACAAGTTTGTGGTAGTTACAGGCACTATGCTGGCAAGGAACACTGTTAGTAATGCCAACTTGCTAATGGCGTCTCATTTCTGTGGGCTTGGAGCAAGGTTTTCAAGGAAAATGAAGGTGTGGTGAGGGCCAGTTATGGACATCTTTCCTGTTGCAAGTAATCTGAGGGCTAGCTGCCGCCAAATTGCTGGCATCCTGTGAGGACCTCTGGCATGTAAGAAGTCCCGTTCAGGCATCAGTCCGATAGGAGAGAGGACTTCTACACCGGATCACTAACAGGTCATGCATTCAGTATCAATTAGGTATCAAGCAGTCACAACTAGGACCCATGCATGTGCAAGTGCAGATGATGGAGGGATCAGAGAAAGGGGATTAGAAGATGGTGTGGTTGAGTCCCAAGAGATGCAGACCTGTATTTCCCATATCTGGGTTATGATATGCTGCTTTTTCCTCGATGGTTGGGTGTACGGCTTATATACTGATGTGGCTTATATGTAGACGTAAAAAATCGGCAGAGTGAAAATAAACATGAAAAGTATCGTCTGGCTATTGGTTCAGGACTGCCTTACAGGCAATTCCAACACAGATATTATACAGTTGCCCTTTGTGGCGAGGAGCTAGAAAGAACTTGTTTTGAAGCTCTTGCACTTCATTTACGTGTCTGACAGGCAGATCACATGATGCAAATGCAAGTACAATGCATCCAACAGGCAAGGTCCAAAACACACCCAAATACATCCAAACCTTGGCAGACCCACAGAAATAATTCTGTATGCTACACACACCAAGCCATTTTAGCCTGCCAAGAACAATGTGACTGGTTCATAACAGTACCATACATAGTCAAGTTCCTTCCAAATCAACAAAGATAATAGATATATTAATGTTTTTTGGATGAAAGTTTGTCAGATCTGATTAGCCATTAACTTGGGAGGGTGGGAAGATAGGTTCAAGCATTATGCAAAATTTGACGAACTTTCTCGGAGATGAAAATATAACTGAACAACTTTTGAACATTAATGTACTGTTGGTAAGTCCTGTGTTATCTTCATAAAAATTTTGGCAATATATTGAAGCATACGACAGGTTTGATACTGTACTTTTGCATTCATCTAAACAATTCACATGAGAAAGTGAAAAACAACTCATCCTTGCAAGTAAATCAATCTTTTAAGTTAAGCTGTTTTAGTTTTCAAAATTTGTTTTGTTTTTGAGTTGAGTTACTTAAAATCAAGGCTACCAGGTGTATAAATTAGTAATTTGCAGTGACAGTAAAATATATGTGCTTGAAAAGGAAGTCCATTATATAGGACCGTAAACAAAGTCATAGAAGTATGGCCTGCATATTAAAACTACAATACTTATGTAGTATATGATGATTTGAAATAATGTTGGATAATCTGTCATTAAAAAACTTATCCCTTAGGCTAAAACTACTAATGAACTGGACGAAGGAGTACTACATCATATCTTCTCCCCTTAGACTGGTGCGATGTTGAGGGCCCTGCTTGGATCTGTATCGGAGGCATGGAGATAATAGCATCTGACAAATTTTTCAGTGAAAAAATAGACTTAACATATATTAAACAAATTTCAATACAAGACTGTCTTTATCAGATATAGGAAACAAGATAAACTTCAACAAATGTCAGATTTCATAAGAACAAGCTCTTGAACTCTTTGAACACGAAAATACTGTTTTCTAATGCTTAACCTTGTGTTGATGTGCTGGATGTTAAACTGGATATCACCAACTTTAGTTTGTTTACATGCTGACAATTAAGCTACTCTTTACTCTGACTGCTGATTGAAATGATCATATCTGTTTGGAATGGTATACAATAATATCTAATATCATGATAAAATTTTAGCAATACTATTATATACATGTGTATATATGTAATGTGTTTATAGCATGGCTAGCCTTGTGTGGAAATCATGCATGTAACATAGATAATAAGATACAGCGATGCATGGTATTTATAATATGTATGAATAAATGAGTTTCATGAACACAGATAATGGGTCCTATATTATCACATAAGTAAGCACACATGCCTAATATAATGATTATAATCTCTTTGAAATGACTCCGCACTATATATTGCCAGTTTTTAATGGATCAGCAATACTAGGCATGATCACTTTTTAATGGATATGCAATATATAACCATATTTAAGTGAGTCCGTTGTACAATTATATAACTTCATTATGCTGCGATTAGCCCTATAAATTGTATATAGTCAGTTTTTAATTGGCCAGCAGCACTATGTATGATCACTTTTCAATGGCTAGACACTTGGTAATCATATTTTAATGAGCAGGCATTATTATTACATAACGAGATTTCAAATGATCAGCTCTAAATGTATAACCAGATTTTAATTAGCTGGCACTATTATTTCAATAGATTTGCATATATAACCACCTATTAATGTGCCTGCACTTTATATAGTCAGATTTCATTGGACCAGATCTACACATAACCTGATCTTAATGAATCAGCATGGTAGCAATATAGATCAACACCATACAACACCAGATTTTAATGGGCCAAAACTAAATAGTAATCAAACCTCACTGGGTCAGCATGATATACATAAATAGATTTTAATGGGACAACACTAAATAGTAATCAAACCTCACTGGGTCAGCATGATATACATAAATAGATTTTAATGGGACAACACTAAATAGTAATCAAACTGCGGTGGGTCAGCATGATATATATAAATAGATTTTAATGGGACAACACTAAATAGTAATCAAACTGCGGTGGGTCAGCATGATATATATAAATAGATTTTAATGGGACAACACTAAATAATAATCAAACTGCGGTGGGTCAGCATGATATACATAAACATATTTTAATGGGCCAACACTACATGGTAACCAGACCTCACTGGGTCAGCATGATATATATAAACAGATTTTAATGGGCCAAGTCTACATGGTAACCAGACCTCACTGGGTCAGCATGATATATATAAACAGATTTTAATGGGCCAACACTAAATAGTAATCAAACTGCAATGGGTCAGCATGATATATATAAATAGATTTAATGGGACAACACTAAATAGTAATCAAACTGCAATGGGTCAACATGATATATATAAACAGATATTAATGGGACAACACTAAATAGTAATCAAACTGCAACGGGTCAGCATGATATATATAAATAGATTTTAATGGGCCAAGTCAACATGGTAACCAGACCTCACTGGGTCAGCATGATGTATATAAACAGATTTTAATGGGCCAATTCTACATGGTAACCAGACCTCACTGGGTCAGCATGATATAAATAAACAGATTTTAATGGGCCAACACTTTACATAAAACCAGATTTCAATAGGTCTAAACTATGTGTGGTTTTAGTGTATCAACACTTTTTATCAGTACAGATTTTAATGGAAAACTGCACTAAACGTAACAATTTCTTAATGAGTTGGCAATATCTTTTACCATATTTTAATAGATTTGAAAATTATATCTAAGTAAAGTAACCAAATTATAATAACTGACTTCATTTTACACATAAAACCAGAAAATTATGGTTCTACACCTGATTGTGTTGTAAAGGTCAGCACCATATTGAGCCAGATAATAATGGTTCAACACTTGATTGTGTTGTAAAGGCCAGCACCATATTGAACCAGATAATAATGGTTCTACACTTGATTGTGTTGTAAAGGCCAGCACCATATTGAGCCAGATAATAATGGTTCTACACTTGATTGTGTTGTAAAGGCCAGCACCATATTAAGCCAGATAATAATGGTTCTACACTTGATTGTGTTGTAAAGGCCAGCACCATATTGAACCAGATAATAATGGTTCTACACTTGATTGTGTTGTAAAGGCCAGCACCATATTGAACCAGATAATAATGGTTCTACACTTGATTGTGTTGTAAAGGTCAGCACCATATTGAGCCAGATGATAATGGTTCTACACTTGATTGTGTTGTAAAGGCCAGCACCATATTGAACCAGATAATAATGGTTCTACACTTGATTGTGTTGTAAAGGTCAGCACCATTTTGAACCTGATAATAATGGTTCTACACTTGATTGTGTTGTAAAGGCCAGCACCATGTTGAACCAGATAATAATGGTTCTACACTTGATTGTGTTGTAAAGGTCAGCACCATATTGAGCCAGATAATAATGGTTCTACACTTGATTGTGTTGTAAAGGTCAGCACCATATTGAGCCAGATAATAATGGTTCTACACTTGATTGTGTTGTAAAGGTCAGCACCATGTAGAATCAGATAATAATGGGTTAGCACTGTTTTTCACCTGATAAATGGATCAGTATCACATTTGATCAGATATGAATCTTCACCATTTATGACCGTTTTATAATGGTGGGTTTGAAGTGGTCACATCTTACATGTACCAGGAAATTCTTTATTGGTCATTATATAATCTTTCATATATATATATATATATATATATATAAATATTATATATGGCACTCTGTAATGTAATGTCACTTGCCACTTCTTACATGTACCAGGAAATTCTATATTTGGTCATTATGTAATCATTCATATACATTGTATATATAAAGGTATTATATATAGCACTTTGTAATGTGTTGTCACTTGGCAAATTACTGTTATAGCTGCATTATTCTGCAATATTTGATTCTTTGAGTGGCAAAATAAATTCATCTTTAATCTTTTAACCAGAGAATTTTCTTGCTATGATATTAGTGGAAGTTGTTTTTTTCATAATTTATTTTTATTTTTCAGTTGCCCTTCAAGCGCTGAAAAGGAAGAAGAGATTTGAGAAACAGTTAGCACACGTAGACGGCACCTTGACCACAATAGAGTTCCAGAAAGAGGCTCTGGAGAATGCCAGTACCAACACAGAAGTCCTAAAGGTCATGGGAGTCGCAGCCAAGGCAATGAAAGGAGCTCACAAAGACATGTATGTATCATAACTTGTCCCATGCCACGACTATTGTAGGTTTAAACATTACTAGTCCCTTGCCACAACTGTTGTAGGTTTAAACATTGCTATTTCCTCGCCTCAACTGTTGTAGGTTTAAACATTGTTTGATCACAGGTGACAGACAATGTTTGATCAGAGGTGACATACAATGTTTGATCAGAGGTGACAGACAAGATTTGATCAGAGGTGACAGAAAAAATATGATCAGAGGTGACAGACAATGTTTGATCAGAAGTGACAGACAATGTTTGATCAGAGGTGACAGACAATGTTTGATCAGAGGTGACAGACAATGTTTGATCAGAGGTGACAGACAAGATTTGATCAGAGGTGACAGACAATATTTGATCAGAGGTGACAGACAATGTTTGATCAGAGGTGACAGACAATGTTTGATCAGAGGTGACAGACAATGTTTGATCAGAGGTGACAGACAATTTTTGATCAGAGGTGACAATGTTTGATCAGAGGTGACAGACAATGTTTGATCAGAGGTGACAGACAGTGTTTGATCAGAGGTGACATACAGTGGTCGATCAGAGGTGACAGACAATGTTTGATCAGAGGTGACATGCAATGTTTGATCAGAGGTGACAGACAATGTTTGATCAGAGGTGACAGACAAAAATTGATCAGAGGTGACAGACAATGTTTGATCAGAGGTGACAGACAATGTTTAATCAGAGGTGACAGACAGTGTTTGATCAGAGATGACATACAATGGTCGATCAGAGGTGACAGACAATGTTTGATCAGAGGTGACAGACAAAAATTGATCAGAGGTGACAGACAATGTTTGATCAGAGGTGACAGACAAGATTTGATCAGAGGTGACAGAAAAAATATTATCAGAGGTGACATACAATGTTTGATCAGAGGTGACAGACAATGTTTGATCAGAGGTGACAGACAAGATTTGATCAGAGGTGACATACAATGTTTGATCAGAGGTGACAGACAATGTTTGATCAGAGGTGACATACAAAATTTGATCAGAGGTGACAGACAAGATTTGATCAGAGGTGACATACAATGTTTGATCAGAGGTGACAGACAAGATTTGATCAGAGGTGACAGAAAAAATATGATCAGAGGTGACATACAATGTTTGATCAGAGGTGACAGACAATGTTTGATCAGAGGTGACAGACAAGATTTGATCAGAGGTGACAGACAATGTTTGATCAGAGGTGACAGACAAAAATTGATCAGAGGTGACAGACAATGTTTGATCAGAGGTGACAGACAATGTTTGATCAGAGGTGACAGACAAGATTTGATCAGAGGTGACATACAAAATTTGATCAGAGGTGACAGACAATGTTTGATCAGAGGTGACAGACAAGATTTGATCAGAGGTGACAGACAATGTTTGATCAGAGGTGACAGACAATGTTTGATCAGAGGTGACAGACAATGTTTGATCAGAGGTGACAGACAATGTTTGATCAGAGGTGACAGACAATGTTTGATCAGAGGTGACAGACAAGATTTGATCAGAGGTGACAGACAAGATTTGATCAGAGGTGACAGACAAGATTTGATCAGAGGTGACAGACAAGATTTGATCAGAGGTGACAGACAAGATTTGATCAGAGGTGACAGACAATGTTTGATCAGAGGTGACAGACAGTGTTTGATCAGAGGTATAGACTGATTGGTGATTGCTCACATTGTAATTTACAGTTTTTGTCTTGTTTAGAAAATTCAGGAAAATGTAACATACATTAACGATTGTTATGTTTGTTCCAGGGATTTGGACAAGGTGCAAGATGTTATGGATGATATTGCAGAGCAGCAGGAGGTTGCTAACGAGATATCTGAGGCTATTTCCAACCCTGTAGGCTTCGGAGAGGATGTGGATGAGGTAAGTACACTGTGTTATCACTTGTCATGTAGGGTTATTGTGTATATTTATGTAATGGTACTGCACTCCTGATAAATAGGGTCATGTTAGTATGTCATGGTAGTGTACACTTGATGAGGATGGTGAGGTGAGGTTTGTAGTACCATTACACAGATTCCAGTTTCAGTGATTGTTTAACACTTCAACATTGAATATGTATACATCCCTAATGAATACAAAAATTGGTAATAAATGCTAATAAACATTGAAAAGGTGATGGGGTGAGGGGAAGGGGGAGCGCGGGAGAACTGAGAGGTGATAACTGTAGTTTAAAAATTCAAATTATGATATTACCAGTACATACTTGGTGCAGATCACTGGTTTGATAGTTATAATGTTTATCTGATTTAAATCCATTAATACCATTGTTTTGTCTCCCTACAGGATGACCTTTTAGCTGAACTGGAAGATTTAGAACAAGAACAGTTAGATGAACAGCTAATAAATGTTGGTCCTATTAGTGAAGGACTGGATGACTTACCTTCTGTTCCCACAGCAGAACCAAGGGCTAATAGTAAGTCTTTTATACAGTTGTATACTGAAGGTGGCACTTCACGTCTCTAGTTTCAAAAGTTGTTGTGTTAAAACATAACAGTTTGGAATTTTTCAGATGTTAGAGATTCTCTTAGAAAGACCTGAACCAATAATCTTAATGATTCATTGTTAGACAAATAGGTAAACTTCAATGAGTTTCTGAAATCAATATAATTATATAAAATATAAAGATAACTTGTAAATTATTTTTTCAACATCTACTTTACATCTGTTATGACTATGGGATTAGGCATTGGTGATAAAAGGTATATTTATAAACCAGTAGCTTCATACTTCTCTTTTTGTGTTACAGAGAAGGTTGCCGTAGCAGATGACGATGATGACATGAAGGAACTCGCTGCCTGGGCAAGTTAAAAATATCAGTCACTCACCAGTACACACAGACATTTGCCTTATGTTGGACTAGTGGTAAACCTATTGTGGCTGGAAAAGGCTTCAGTCTCTCCAAGTGTTGAAGGTCATTTAATTGTCATACAGAATTCAGATTCAAAGAGAATGTGATAGTTAGAATTTTAGACTTACTATTACTTCATTTGCAGACATATCTTGAGAACCTGCTGTCTGTGAAACTTCACTGTTACTGGTAAATGAATGTAAATATTTTATTATGTTGATTCAGTAACCATCAATTCACCATGAACTTGTCCTAAAGAAAGTGTGACTCTGTCTATTAACACATTTGACTGGTGATAAACCCATGTTCTGCTACCTACTAAACAGCTTTAGACTAGACAGTGTTAGTTATTGGTACTTTAGAGATTACAGATAAAATGTTGATAAATATTTGATAAGTTAACTCTGAACAGCCATTTGCACTCTTTCAGTGAATAAGTGATGACACAAAATGAACAGAAATTTGATTTAAAGATATTGGACATCACTTGGTTGATCTTTGTCACCTTTTAAAAATAAATATTTTTTCATTATTCTCTTTGTCATACCATAAATATTTTTAACATGTTTGTAATTTTTTAACACGGTAGATATCTGTATTGAACATTAAGAGATAAGAAATATAAGAGCCAAGAAATATTAAAATAAGAAACTGCTCATAAAAAGTACGGTAACAGATAATGAATGGATGTGTGTATGAATGTGTATGTGTGTTTTGAGGTCTGTATTTAATTTCCATTCATGTATAACTGTAAGTAGTTTTTTTCTGCTATAAATATCTTGTATATTCTGTTACCGACAGTCTATAATATATATGTATATTTCTAGCACTTTCCTTAAGTGTACAGGAAACCAATTTGGATGTATGTAAGAGAACTTGCAGATGTAGATAAATGTTAATATGTCTGTTGTGATTGTTATATCAACAATATTGTTTTCTTAAATACCAATTTGTGAATTGTGACTCTTCTACTTTAAAATACCAGTAAAAATTGATACATTGAATTAATATTGAAACTGTTATGAAACAGTCTGTTTTAATTTATTCATTATAACTTTGAATGTACAATCTGTAAGGCTGTGCTGTTGTAATTGATGGATACTGTTATAAGAGCTGTTAAATCTGCTTGTCTGATTTTCAGGCCTTGACAACAACCTTTCCCAGAGTGTATTGTAGACATCTTATAAGGGCAAATGACTAACATGTACTGACATTTGACTTCTACATGTGAATGTATGACATCAACCTCCATGGTTATATGAGTATATATAATTTAGTTATTGTTCTAGAGCAGAAATGTGAAAGGGCATAGGAAAATAAATGAAAAAAGGAAGACCTCTGGGCATGGAGTTTTGAAAAAAAGATGAATTATACATGTTTAAAGCACGCTGTATGAATTTCATGAATTGTTTGGGTTTTGGTTATTTCAGTTCAATTTTCCAATGTAAAAAAGAGTTCTTGCAAAAGCACTACATATACTACATACAATGGTAGCCAAATTTAAACAATGATATGTATTGTTCGGTTCCTACAATTGTTAGAATGTGTCTGTCTAGTAAGTGTTGGGAAGTTATATTCATCACAATATTCATTACAAAATATAAAATGTGTTAAACTGAAGTTTGTTTTTTGTATGTTCCCATTTAGCAAAAATAGTTTTCAGTATTGTCCTTGTAATATTTTTTTTAAAACTACCCACAATGCAACTGGCTGCTTTATTTGTTGTCATTTAGTGTTTTGTATGATGTCAGAGCATGACACACACATGCACACGAAAAGAGAAAAAATCCTGTGCAAAGTAGTGTTATATGAAATGAGGGTTTTTAAGGCCATAGTTTTAAGTACCAATTCATTGACTTCCAGACAGACAAGAATTCATAAATCATTTATAAGATATAAAAAACATTTTGTTTTGTAGATTGGTATTCTTGTGAATTGTTTGATAAATAACAGTTTTATGATACACCTCTGAAACCCGAATTGTTCCGTGAAATCTTGATGTACCGGTACCTGCTTTCGGTGATAAAAAGACCTTGGGAGAGAATGCTGTTTCATAATTACTATTCTGTTATTCTCTGTTATGAAAAATCAATAGAATATATGTGTTTTTAATTCATTTTCAAATGACTTGCAACAGTTTGAATTTGCAAACAGTATATTTATGAATATTAATGTTAAGATATATTGAAATAAATATTTCATCAAATTCAATCTATGTTCCTTGTGAATTACCATGAAAGGTTGTGACAAGAATAGAACTGGTGTTCTTTGTACACGAGTCAGTGTTGATACTAACTTGCCAGTAAATAAAGCACCAACAATGGTGCCTTACGTAATTCTGGACTTTTTGTCTGTTACATTTTTGTTTGAATCCGTTATACAAATTTTTTTCACCACAGATTTTAATATTTCGCATACTGTCACACTGAGCATTAGAATCTGTTCTGAATGTTAAGGCAAGTGTTACTTTCATTAAAAATGAACAGAATTATTCTAAGAAGTCCGGGTATAACAAGATCCTGAAATCCAAAATGGCCACTATTTAATAACACTGTCTGGCTATTAAAACAAGTAGTCTGTTATAGTGGTAAAAATTGTTTGAAATAGTAAATATACAAGGCCAAATTATTGATTTATTGGGTTTTTTGTTACATAGTTTTACGGGTCAGTGAATTAGAACTTCAACTCCAAAGAAGATCAAATCTTCAAGAGGAATGGCGTGTATTGCATGTAGTACTGTAAGGCGTTTTACATCACCTTAGTAACTGCTGTATCCATGGAAATATGTGCTGAGACAAGCCTAGGTTTTTATTATAGGATTGAATTGTCTTCATTGTTGTTTTTATATTTGTTTTCAATTTCCACATCTTCATGCACCTTTGCAGTTGTAGTGTCTTCTTTAAAGATTTGTTATTTATTGTAACTACTCCTCGCAACATTTCAACAGGTTTCACATTTTGTTGGAAATTATTTGGTTTCATGTCCATGTGACATCGGTGAATTAAGGATAGGTTTTGAATCATAGATAGATGTTTTATAGGCATGTAGTTATAGAAATTAGGATACCATATTTTTAGTTTAGCCAGCTTTCAGTTGGCTCCAGTTTGTATGAATGAAAAAGCCATTTTCGAACAAATATCTAACTTGTTGATGTAGGTAAGTACAGTTTGTTTACAATCTTATCTACTTATATTAAATTTTATTTTAGAAAACAGAACCATATTTGAAGTTGACTATGGTCATCAATGTTGTACTCCACATTACACCAGAAATTTGGGACTTTGTTAAAGAGGAATCCATGAACTCTAGTATGTTTTTGAGTTAACAGTTGATGGACATAGTCCACAATGAATTGACTTAATCCAATGACAATATTTTTGACGTTACTAACTGTGGACATTGATGTTTTTGAGTTAACAGTTGATGGACATAGTCCACAATGAATTGACTTAATCCAATGACAATATTTTTGACGTTACTAACTGTGGACATTGATGTTTTTGAGTTAACAGTTGATGGACATAGTCCACAATGAATTGACTTAATCCAATGACAATATTTTTGACGTTACTAACTGTGGACATTGATTTCAGGAAGATCCTACATGTCACAACCACACACATGTATAATTTGGTGGATTACTCCACAGTAACAGTTACTATTTCATTCATAAACAATTTATCTGATCAGAGAAATGATAGATAAGTCCAGCAGGTAAAATAAGATGTTTCTCCCATGTTTGTGGATTATTGTGGAGAGAATGGCTTGTCATTGCTGACAGCATCAAGATATCAAAATATGTTAATTCACTACCATTTATTGGTATGTATTGTTAAACTATATTCTGAATGTGAAATTGCTAATAAATCCGTTCTTCATTATCAGTATTTTGTTTTGTCTTATCAATTTACAACAGTTTTAAGGTCGATTAAATCCTGTCGCCTCTGACATCATAGATAGCTCAGTTTTGATGGTATATAAGACTTGAGTTTAACTGCATTTTAAGTAGCTGGGTAGAAGACCATTATGCAGAGAATTCAAAATGAATTTAATGGGAGCTCAATATTAACCTACCATCATCAGAAAATTTAAAGTTTCTTTTTCTCTATAGTCCACCTATTCTGTTCACTATTCCACCCCTTAAATAAAACCTTGGTTCATTTCAGAATCTTACAACCCTTGGATCAAGACTTTTTTTGTCTTGCGATCAATGTGGGTAAAGATTCTAGTAATATTTAATATATAACATGTTTGATAAACAGCGGAGCTAAGTAAGTGTATTTTACCATAACATCTCTTACGTAGACAAGCAAGTGTGCAATACCATAATGTCTATTAGTCGAGAGAGGCAAATGTATTCTACCATAATATTACATACCAGGCAAGTTTACACTACCCTAATGTTACATAGACAGGTAAGTGTACTGTACTGTGATGTATTTTACATAGACAGGTAAGTGTGCTGTACTGTGATGTATTTTACACAGACAGGTAAGTGTGCTGTACTGTGATGTATGTTACACAGACAGGTAAGTGTGCTGTACTGTGATGTATGTTACACAGACAGGTAAGTGTGCTGTACTGTAATGTATGTTACACAGACAGGTAAGTGTGCTGTACTGTGATGTATTTTACACAGACAGGTAAGTGTGCTGTACTGTGGTGTATTTTACATAGGTCAGTGTGTTGTACTTTGATGTATTTTACACAGACAGGTAAGTGTGCTGTACTTTGATGTATTTTACATAGACAGGTAAGTGTGCTGTACTGTGATGTATGTTACATAGACAGGTAAGTGTGCTGTACTGTGATGTTTTTTACACAGACAGGTAAGTGTGCTGTACTGTGATGTATTTTACACAGACAGGTAAGTGTGTTGTACTTTGATGTATTTTACACAGACAGTTAAGTGTGCTGTACTGTGATGTATTTTACACAGACAGGTAAGTGTGCTGTACTGTGATGTATGTTACATAGACAGGTAAGTGTGCTGTACTGTGATGTATTTTACACAGGTAAGTGTGCTGTACTGTGATGTACTTTACATAGACAGGTAAGTGTGCTGTACTGTGATGTATTTTACACAGACAGGTAAGTGTGCTGTACTGTGATGTATTTTACAAAGACAGGTAAGTGTGTCGTACTGTGATGTATTTTACACAGACAGGTAAGTGTGCTGTACTGTGATGTATGTTACATAGACAGGTAAGTGTGCTGTACTGTGATGTATTTTACACAGACAGGTAAGTGTGCTGTACTGTGATGTATTTTACACAGACAGGTAAGTGTGCTTGACTGTGATGTATGTTACATAAACAGGTAAGTGTGCTGTACTGTGATGTATTTTACACAGTCAGGTAAGTGTGCTGTACTGTGATGTATTTTACATAGACAGGTCAGTGTGTTGTACTTTGATGTATTTTACATAGGTAAGTGTGCTGTACTGTGATGTATTTTACATAGGTAAGTGTGCTGTACTGTGATGTATGTTACACAGACAGGTAAGTGTGCTGTACTGTGATGTATTTTACATAGGTCAGTGTGTTGTACTTTGATGTATTTTACACAGACAGGTAAGTGTGCTGTACTGTGATGTATTTTACATAGACAGGTAAGTTTGCTGTACTGTGATGTATTTTACATAGACAGGTCAGTGTGCTGTACTGTGATGTATGTTACATAGACAGGTAAGTGTACTGTACTGTGATGTATTTTACACAGACAGGTAAGTGTGCCGTACTGTGATGTATTTTACATAGACAGGTAAGTGTGATGTACTGTGATGTATGTTACGTAGACAGGTAAGTGTACTGTACTGTGATGTATTTTACACAGACAGGTAAGTGTGCTGTACTGTAATGTATTTTACAGACAGGTCTCTTCTCTGACATACTACTGAAATTGAAATGTCCTGCACATACAATTCTTGCTTCTGTGTAGCGTTTGTGAAAGGGCCAAATACAATACCAAGTTAACTGGAAAAGGAATTCAAACGTAAGCTGAGGGCCATCTAGATTTTTTCTGTTCAGCAATATCATAGAACACAAGTGTTAATTATACCATGCTATGTTGAGGTTGATGGTCAATATGATCCATCTTGTCACATTCTTTTGTAGTTGCCCTTCAAGCTCTGAAGAGGAAAAAGAGATACGAGAAACAATTAGCAAGCATTGACGGCACCTTGTCAACAATTGAGTTCCAGAAGGAGGCTCTAGAGAATGCCAATACCAACACAGAGGTCTTCAAGGTCATGGGGGATGCAGCCAAGGCAATGAAGGGAGCTCACAAAGACCTGTATGTATTTAATTAACAGATCTTTTTCATCAGCATGCAGCATTGAAACAACGATTCATTTGTCATATTAAGATAAAGTGAAATAGAGTTTTTGTGGGATGGGGGTGGAGATGGGGATGGGGGTGGAGATGGGGATGGAGGTGGGGGTGGGATGGGGGTGGAGATGGGGATGGAGGTGGGGGTGGGGCTGATTTTGCTGGAATTTAAGATGAAGAAAATGCTTTACCTTTACATGCCTGGCTATAAACTCACCTACGTCTATTGTCAAGAAATACTTAATTTAACCCTTGATCGGTCATCAGATTGTAATCAGTGCCGGTATGAATACAATTTGGATGGCAGATAAATAAAATTTGTGTGTAAAGATTATTTATCTGTCATTCAGACTGCAATCATAGTGATCATGTTTACCCTACTGGTATTATTTGAGATATTGATGAATCAACATGTACTGTTCATCAAGTTAAAAACTTGTTTTCCTTGGATGTTTACTTACTGGAGGAGTCTCCCCAAAGTTATAATCATCTGGATAATTGATGTTAAGTTCTAAGATATGTTATATGAGGTGATTTGTTCACCATTGACATTACGTCGGTCAATACGTTAGTGCCAATACAATTAATACACAATAATGTGAATAAATTAACAATGATTTGATGTCAAGACATGATACAAAATATAAATATAAAAATACATTTTCAAATACCCGATGAATAATTAATATGGAAACATGATTTGAAAAATTGAAATTTTCTATACACTATACACTTGATAAGTTTTTGTTTAAAAAAAAAGTCGATGGTAATTGTATATTTATTTATAACAGTTGCTCTACACTCTGTCTGAAGACAAAGGGAGGTAAACCTTCCTATACAAATTAAGCAACTTCCTTATAACATTTTTAACATCAGTACAAACAAGTGAATTAATTGACATTTAAATATTTGGAGTGACACATTTTTTAACATGTCATTCGAAGAACTTGTATCTTTGAAAAAAATGTTTTAGGTAATTATGAAAATTAAGAGTAATTAAGTTCCTCCTGCAGTCTTCAGAGCAAATATAGATGTTAGGAAAGACAATTACAATATCTTTGATATTTACAGTTGAATGACTTTGTGCCATTTATTTATTTACACTTTCATTCCCATGTTTTATATCTCACAAATCAAATTCTCTGGATATTGTATGTTGTATTGTTTCAAAATAATAAGCACCGTTGATAAGTTGTATGTTGTAGTGGATGATGTTGTGGCTAGTTGTTGATGTCGTCACATTGCTGAACTATACAGTTGCGTGATTATAGAATAAATACACCACAAAATTAGCCCAGAACTTAATACAAAGTGTATGGGTTGTTTACAGAGATGTGGATCAAGTTCACGATATGATGGATGAGGTGGCTGATCAACAAGAGATAGCCAATGAGATATCTGAGGCTATATCTAATCCAGTAGGCTTTGGGGAGGATGTGGATGAGGTAGGACTTTATCTAGTCCCAAACAGAATAATCAAATGTAGCTAAAGACTATAGATATCAGACAGACATGTCTTTTCCCCACCCACAACATAAGTAAACCTATAAAATATATGCAGAAAAAAGACTAATAAAGAATATTTTAAGGATTCCCTTTGCAAAAAAAAAAAATGGATGTTGTTTGACCTTACATACTGCCCGGTTCTGTTTGACCACAGGATGACTTACTGGCTGAGTTAGAGGAGCTGGAACAAGAGGGCCTGGACGAACAGCTGCTGAATGTCGGTCCTGCCTTGGATGACTTGCCTTCTGTTCCTACCCAGGAACCTAAAACCAAGAGTAAGATCGTTATTAAACACTTACTGATTGGAACTTCCAAAGATCTGAGGAATTATTCCATTACTGGTTAACCTAACATTAGTTCAGACTTTGGAGGATAAAAAAGGTATAGCTAACCTTGATGTAGAGTAGATTTGGTATACCTTCTGGTGGCCATTGATAGTATCTTCTCTTGCTTTCACGCCCAATTCTTTTGTTCAGGTCTATGATAATCAAATGTATATCACGAATGTGGTACATGTATGTGTATTAGCATCCAGGAGTTGTTTTAGATGATAATTAAAATAGTAAAATGCATATTTTTTTTGGTTGAACTGTCATGCCTTATCTGTTTTGTATTACAGGGAAAACAGCACGGCCTGAAGAGGATGATGACATGAGAGAATTGGCAGCCTGGGCAAGCTAGAAATAACTTACGTGTCACATCACCTAGTCCTACATACTCTATAATCTAATCGGAGTTCCACATAACACTTTACTTCGGAGAAAAACCAAAGTTTGGGTATTTGTTACCATAGAAACCAAGAGGCCATTTCTTCTATCATAAAAATGTGGAATTTTGCTTGTTATACTATTAAAATATGGTCGCCTGTTTGTAGTAAACTACCACCTGTATTGTATCTGTCTTTAGGAGTCTAGCATTGTTACTTGAAATATAACATGTTTGGAGGCCAAGTGGAAGTTTTTCAGTTGAAAGCTTTATATATCTAGAAAGGATATCTTCTTTAGTGTTATATGTAGAGGTATGTTTGTTACAAGGCTTTAGTATTACATTATAATAGAGGTATGTTTGTTACAAGGCTTTAGGATTACATTATAATAGAGGTATGTTTGTTACAAGGCTTTAGTATTACATTATAATAGAGGTATGTTTGTTACAAGCCTTTAGTATTACATTATAATAGAGGTATGTTTGTTACAAGGCTTTAGGATTACATTATAATAGAGGTATGTTTGTTACAAGGCTTTAGTATTACATTATAATAGAGGTATGTTTGTTACAAGCCTTTAGTATCACATTATAATAGAGATATGTTTGTTACAAGCCTTTAGTATCACATTATAATAGAGGTATGTTTGTTACAAGCCTTTAGTATTACATTATAATAGAGGTATGTTTGTTACAAGGCTTTAGTATTACATTATAATAGAGGTATGTTTGTTACAAGGCTTTAGTATCACATTATAATAGAGGTATGTTTGTTACAAGGCTTTAGGATTACATTATAATAGAGGTATGTTTGTTACAAGGCTTTAGTATTACATTATAATAGAGGTATGTTTGTTACAAGCCTTTAGTATTACATTATAATAGAGGTATGTTTGTTACAAGCCTTTAGTATTACATTATAATAGAGGTATGTTTGTTACAAGCCTTTAGTATTACATTATAATAGAGGTATGTTTGTTACAAGGCTTTAGTATTACATTATAATAGAGGTATGTTTGATACAAGGCTTTAGTATCACATTATAATAGAGGTATGTTTGTTACAAGGCTTTAGGATTACATTATAATAGAGGTATGTTTGTTACAAGGCTTTAGTATTACATTATAATAGAGGTATGTTTGTTACAAGGCTTTAGTATTACATTATAATAGAGGTATGTTTGTTACAAGCCTTTAGTATTACATTATAATAGAGGTATGTTTGTTACAAGGCTTTAGGATTACAATATAATAGAGGTATGTTTGTTACAAGCCTTTAGTATTACATTATAATATAGCCACAGTGAAGGCTCTAGTTCCCTATAGCCACAGTGAAGGCTCTAGTTCCCTATAGCCACAGTGAAGGCTCTAGTTCCCTATAGCCACAGTGAAGGCTCTAGTTCCCTATAGCCACAGTGAAGGCTCTAGTTCCCCTATACCTATACTGAACTGTTTTAGTTTCCCTATAGCCACAGTGAAGGCTCTAGTTCCCCTATACCTTTACTGAACTGTTTTAGTTTCCCTATAGCCACAGTGAAGGCTCTAGTTCCCCTATACTGAACTGTTTTAGTTTCCCTATAGCCACAGTGAAGGCTGTAGTTCCCTATAGCCACAGTGAAGGCTCTAGTTCCCCTATACTGAACTGTTTTAGTTTCCCTATAGCCTCAGTGAAGGCTCTAGTTCCCCTATACCTATACTGAACTGTTTTAGTTTCCCTATAGCCACAGTGAGGGCTCTAGTTCCCTATACCTATACAGAACTGTTTTAGTTTTCCTATAGCCTCAGTGAAGGCTCTAGTTCCCTATAGCCACAGTGAAGGCTCTAGTTCCCTATAGCCACAGTGAAGGCTCTAGCTCCCCTATACCTATACTGAACTGTTTTAGTTTCCCTATAGCCACAGTGAGGGCTCTAGTTCCCTATACCTATACTGAACTGTTTTAGTTTCCCTATAGCCTCAGTGAAGGCTCTAGTTCCCCTATACCTATACTGAACTGTTTTAGTTTCCCTATAGCCACAGTGAGGGCTCTAGTTCCCTATACCTATACAGAACTGTTTTAGTTTCCCTATAGCCACAGTGAAGGCTCTAGTTCCCCTATACCTATACAGAACTGTTTTAGTTTTCCTATAGCCTCAGTGAAGGCTCTAGTTCCCTATAGCCACAGTGAAGGCTCTAGTTCCCTATAGCCACAGTGAAGGCTCTAGCTCCCCTATACCTATACTGAACTGTTTTAGTTTCCCTATAGCCACAGTGAAGGCTCTAGTTCCCTATAGCCACAGTGAAGGCTCTAGTTCCCTATAGCCACAGTGAAGGCTCTAGTTCCCCTATACCTATACTGAACTGTTTTAGTTTCCCTATAGCCACAGTGAAGGCTCTAGTTCCCTATAGCCACAGTGAAGGCTCTAGTTCCCCTATACCTGTACTGAACTGTTTTAGTTTCCCTATAGCCACAGTGAAGGCTCTAGTTCCCCTATACCTATACTGAACTGTTTTAGTTTCCCTATAGCCACAGTGAAGACTCTAGTTCCCTATAGCCACAGTGAAGGCAATAGTTCCCCTATACCTATACTGAACTGTTTTAGTTTCCCTATAGCCACAGTGAAGACTCTAGTTCCCTATAGCCACAGTGAAGGCTCTAGTTCCCCTATACCTATACTGAACTGTTTTAGTTTCCCTATAGCCACAGTGAAGGCTCTAGTTCCCCTATACCTATACTGAACTGTTTTAGTTTCCCTATAGCCACAGTGAAGGCTCTAGTTCCCCTATACCTATACTGAAATGTTTTAGTTTCCCTATAGCCACAGTGAAGGCTCTAGTTCCCCTATACCTATACTGAACTGTTTTAGTTTCCCTATAGCCACAGTGAAGACTCTAGTCCCCTATACCTATACTGAACTGTTTTAGTTTCCCTATAGCCACATTGAAGGCTCTAGTTCCCTATAGCCACAGTGAAGGCTCTAGTTCCCCTATACCTATACTGAACTGTTTTAGTTTCCCTATGACCACAGTGAAGGCTCTAGTTCCCTATAGCCACAGTGAAGGCTCTAGTTCCCCTATACCTATACAGAACTGTTTTAGTTTCCCTATAGCCACAGTGAAGGCTCTAGTTCCCTATAGCCACAGTGAAGGCTCTAGTTCCCCTATACCTATACTGAACTGTTTTAGTTTCCCTATAGCCACAGTGAAGACTCTAGTTCCCTATAGCCACAGTGAAGGCTCTAGTTCCCCTATACCTATACAGAACTGTTTTAGTTTCCCTATAGCCACAGTGAAGGCTCTAGTTCCCTATAGCCACAGTGAAGGCTCTAGTTCCCTATAGCCACAGTGAAGGCTCTAGTTCCCTATAGCCACAGTGAAGGCTCTAGTTCCCCTATACCTATACTGAACTGTTTTAGTTTCCCTATAGCCACAGTGAAGACTCTAGTTCCCTATAGCCACAGTGAAGGCTCTAGTTCCCCTATACCTATACTGAACTGTTTTAGTTTCCCTATAGCCACAGTGAAGGCTCTAGTTCCCTATAGCCACAGTGAAGGCTCTAGTTCCCCTATACCTATACTGAACTGTTTTAGTTTCCCTATAGCCACAGTGAAGGCTCTAGTTCCCTATAGCCACAGTGAAGGCTCTAGTTCCCCTATACCTATACTGAACTGTTTTAGTTTCCCTATAGCCACAGTGAAGGCTCTAGTTCCCCTATACCTATACTGAACTGTTTTAGTTTCCCTATAGCCACAGTGAAGGCTCTAGTTCCCCTATACCTATAGTGGTTCCCCTATACTTAAGTGAATTGTTTTCCAGTATAGCCTTAATGGACTATTTAGATTCCTTTAAAGCTGTTGTGGACTATTACCGTAAAGTTTGTTATTTTTTTGATATGACAATGGGAAACCATAATGTGACCGTTTGATTGTGATCTGAAATGTTGTTTATAACCTCTTATAGTTATTATTCATAAATATCAATATTATATAGATACTGTTTTCTTTATTTCTCTGTTGTTAAAGATATCTTTATACATGTCATAATCATTTCATATTTTTGTAGTCTGATAAAATGATTTATTTTTCACATGAAACAAGGATTAGTCTTCCTCGTTTTATTATCCACCTGTAATCAGTTATCAAAGGCTGGGTCCTTGATAATTGATTACAGGTGGATAATAAAGGGCTGGACCCTTTAATGACAGATATAGGTTACATTAGTTCCTTTGAATCATCTGTTATTTACAAAATTTTTATATTGTTGAATAATTTCCAAAAGATGTCTAACAAATTCTTCCTTGAGGTGTGCTAAATTTTATTCACATATTAAGAGTTAATACAGCTGTTACCCAGACTCTCAAATCTGTTTAAATCTTCCCTATTTATAACTTTCCAATTTAAGAATATACAGATTTAGAAATTACTTATTTTAGATGTCTTTATTACAATCGTGTTTACTGTAGCTCGAGTCCAAAGGGACTATGTGGTAAAGTTAGTTTTGTAATTTATATAAAAAAAAAAAAAGATAAAAAAAAAAATTTTTTAAAGGATGGCAACTCAGAGAATTTTATACTTAACCTATCTATAAGTAAATTTGTTGAGTCAACGTCTAGTTAAGGAAGACAAAGTTTGCCTAGATTACTCTCGTGTTTTATTAATGAAACTATAAACTTAATTAGTAAGCCACCTGGAGGTCCTAATGGTGACTTTACATCTAGATACCAGACAAATATGCTGAGTCAATAGAATAAATCACACTTGCAGCCTAGAAGCTAACTACACTGTTCATTTGTCATTATATATACGGTAGTACAAAATATTGCAGTCTACTGAAAATTTTATTTCCCAAAATAACAAATGCTATATACTTATTATATAAAAATACTTATGATAAAATGAAATATTATTTAGTTACAAAATGAGAATTTTGAAAATACATTTAGGCTATGCACAATTCTGATTTCAACAGCAACATTAAAATATAAACAAAGTGAACTTTAA